ATGCGCCTTGTCGCCGCAATTGCCTTTTCGATAGTTCGCCGCATGCTATACTTGTCGGTGAAAGGCAATGGACGCATTCATCAATGCACACGCGCCCCAAACTATACCCCCTAATGCATCAGAAGAGAATTAAGTGTAAATAATAAAAATAAAATAAAATAAAATAAAATAAAATAAAATAAAATAAAATAAAATAAAATAAAATAAAATAAATCATTTTGACAAAGTCAATGCATTCTCATTTCCATCTCCCCCACACATCCTCTCAATTATTGCTCCATGTTGTTTCAATTCCCCTCAATCCTGTGTCACTTCAGCAAGTCATCGCCACCCCTGGGATACATCCGTGCCCCGCCATACGATCTGAAGGTCGTCTCTCGCTTATCGGCACTCAGGCACTCGACATCAATCCAGGGGTGGCTGGTTGTCCTGCCTGACTTCACGGAAAAATTACTTTCCATTTAGGATAATACCGTGGCCCAGCTAGAATACATCCGTAGATAGCATCATGCCATATCCGTCTTTGCACTTTACAATATGTGCACGCCTTTGGCATGGCTTCTCAGCTGAACACAAAGGGACTCCTTGCCAGCAAGGAACACGGGAATAACGCACCCCAGGCTTGGCGATCCGAATGCATTGTTTCCCCCAGGCACAAGGGCAGGAATGTGCCTAAACAGGAGCGTGGCCTCACATCGGCCAAATAGCTACTGCGTCAGTGCGCCGCGTTGCTTTTTACCCAAATCTGAGTCAAATGTCCTCATTCGGCTGGTTTCTCGAGGGCGCAAGATGTGCCCAAAGCCATTGACTGCTGCCCTTCAGCCTCATCGCACGTAGCGTGTTTAGATGCGGTAGAGACAACGATATCATATATGACAGGACATTGTAAAGCAGGTTTTATGCCATGCCCAGTATAGAATACTAGAGATGTCAGCGTCCTCTCTTTGGGGTGGCTTAATGACTGGTCGACGGCGATCCACCGCCCTCGCATTGTGGTGTATGACTTCCTTGGAAGTTGGTGGCTGCAACGGACCAACAGCACGATCGCGGCGTATGCAGGATCCCAACGCGAGGGTTTGCAATAGGCTATTTTAGTCGTTATGCATGCTTTCAGCTGCTAATTCGTCGATAAGCAGCGGCATCAGCTTTCCTTGGCATCGGGGGAAAGAAGCTTGTTGCATGGAGTCCAATCGTTTGTATACATGCAATAGCGTGCATGTAATCCACGTCAGCATCAGCGCTGCAAGCATTTCAAACGCGGTTGGATGCTGGCACAATTGAGTCAAGGGAGTAATATAGCGCCACCAAGAAACAAATCAACTGAGTCATATTACTAGAGAATAATAAAATAAAAAATAAAACAAAATAAAACCATACTTTCAAGGATACATAGTACAAAGGGATGTCTTACCCGCAGTAGATACAAATTTCCTATTTTGTTGTTCAGGTCTAGGGTGTGCCGACCAACACATCAGGGTCCGGTTGTGATGCTCCGGCCCGGCAAGCTCTCCGTGATCCGCGAACACATGCCGGATCGCCATCTAAACCACTCCTACATGTCAAGCTCACCAAGCAAAGGGGGATCGCTGTAAATCACATGATGGACTTAAAGAATTCACCAATTGTCTCAGCTGCCATTATACTTTTTCATAATGAGAGACCCTGGGGCGATGAGACTGTTTGGTATGAAAATCCCGAGACCAATCCACTAGCGCAATGCCTGTGCCAGACGGGCTCAGAGCCCGGGGGACTGAGAATCGAAACCGCGGGACAAGTGGTAAGAAGACGAGACAAAGCGATACGCATCACGGGACCAATCTGTGCAAAACAGATTGAGGCGAAAAGCCTTTGCAACGGCACCGCTTAGGAGTTGCATCCTGCAACCCCCTTTTTTGATCTTTTCTTTTTCTTGATTTGCTACGCTGATATGTGATATTGTTTTAAACTCCCTTGCTTTCGAGGGGGCCTGAGAAAAACATACTTCCAAAAGAGGAAAGGCCATCTTCTCTCGAGGAAACAATCAACTTCTCAACTCTCAGTAAGGTGACGAAGCACACATGTGCATTTCGGGCTTGCATATACGGTGTAGCAGCGGCATTGCTAGCCCAATCCTTCGCATATATTGCATGACATGCAACAGGCTCCCTTCGCATCACCGCCTGATTCAGCCTCACACGCCTAAGCTGTGCCGTGAGATTGTTCCGGCGGCCACATGCATTGTGCTTGTTCCCTTTTCTTTTTTTTCTTGCTTATTCCCTTATAAAGCCTTTGTTTCCGCCACTGTGCTAATAAGCAAGGAGGAAACACGCCCCCCCGCCGGCCCTTGGTAAATTGGGTGTATCATCTCGCCCGTTCTATCATATGTGACAGACCAAGGTTGGGCCGCCCGCGATCGTGCCCAGCTCACGGGGAATCTAGCGGGTCGCAGTAAAGTGATTTGAGGCTTCGGCTGATCGGTGCGGACGCATCCATAGTTTTTAGCATAATTATTAGTTGGCCGGAGCTGGTGTCAGTTGTTCAGTCAAGGTTCAAGGGGTATGGCCAAACTTGTCTTGGAAGGGTAACCATTCTACGACTTATTATTCATCACCGCGGATAGCCCTTTGACATGCTTTCAAGTATACGCATGGGCCCGGTACACCTTCGGGCACATGAGACGGAGGATTTTCCGCATTACATTACCGAAAATAAAATATAGCACAGCGATTTAGAAAACAAAAAGGTCTTGAGGAGAATTTCACATGTAAACAGTGAGCAGAGGGGCGGCCAGCCCCGCTCACGGGTTGCCAACATTCAACATGCCTTGCATCAATATTCTCCATACGTAATATGTGATGGCCGCCTTCATTCGCTCGCATCTGTAAGGAGCTGTGCCTGCTGGTACAAAATAGCGACACGGCACCTGCACTTGAGCCGTCACCACCACCACCATCACCACCATCTTCCCATCACGAACTAGCCCTTTGCATCACACTTCCTCGGGACTCTCTCTCACGCACTCACACACACCAATTCCTCCTGCTGATTCACATCTCATGGCCCAACGGGAAGAAGCGCTAGGGCGCGACAGCAGGACACGCTAGGGCCTCCGGACCGGCTGCCGGGTCGCGCATTTTGCAGGAAGTGTGTGCGTGTCTGCCCCGATTCGGTTGCCCGCCGGAATCAAGCGAATCAGGAGGGTCTCTTGTCACAGGAAAGCTCAAGGCAGGGGGTGTGGAGGGGACGGCGTCGTTTCCTCTCATGGCGGGAGTAAAGTGTGTATGTGTGTGCAGAGGTTATTGGTTTGACAGCTGGATCAGAAAGCAAGGCCGCGGTTGGTTAATTTTTTTTTTTTTCAACACATGACTAGAATAATGCGGGAAGAGCAGAAAAGCCCCCTTGCAAATGAAGCGGTTTGAATGGACGGAAAAGAAGCCAAAAAAGAAAATAATGGCGAGCAAACAATTTCCGCAAAGTAGGCGGTGCCTCTGCTATTGAAACCTGCTGCGGCCGCTTCCACAGCTACTCATTGGCTGTAATATACGAAAGCCCGGAAAGATCGAGCTGGCTTTGGGAATTTTTCCCGAGCTGAAAATGGTAAATTTGCTTTGTCAGGACTGCCAGAACCGCGGTAATTGGTTGATTTTCATCATTCATCATTCACATGGGCTGACAAGGCAGGGCCGCAAGTCACGGGAGCTTCAGTGGCTGAACAAGGTGCCTTGCAAGCTCCTCTCCCCTTCTGCAAGCCCCAATATCGCCTCTATTTTTGAGACACGCATTTCCGATCCGCCACCGTGGCGCCGTTTGTTTTGCTAAAAAAGCTGTGAGCTTTTGAAGAGGAGATAAACCCCCTTCTCAGATATCCTGTTTTCTTTCTGCCCCCTCCCTGCATGGCGCAGTATTTGGATAGAATAGACGACCCAATGGCGTCCGTTGCCGTTGCATTTCGCAGCTATATAAGTTAGAGTACAAGATAAATGCGTAGACTAGCATGAAGCTGCCCAGGTTCTCCGTAACGTCCCGGGCTCCCCGTTGCATATTCTCGAGGCGAACGTGCGTTATCCCCAGACGCGGGGGAGCTGAGGGATCAGGCTTGGAAAAAAGGAATCAATAGAAAAAGAAAGAAAGAAACGAAATCAAATGCTACCGAGCTGAAACATCGTGCCGCATCAACATGCCATCGTGGCCCCCGGCTTTCCAGTGCCGTGTCTTTGGGCTTGCCCGGGGTTGTCCTTTGCATGGTTGTTGTTATTCATGCGCCGTTTTTACGTACTCGGGCGTCCGTCAATGCTACTTGGTAAAGTACAATAGAAAAAAGAAGACCAAGAAAAAAGAAAAAAAGAAATGAGGCGTCGACTTAAAACAGGTTAATTCAGTTTCTGTTTGCGACAAGTCAACTTTCATGGCTCTTTACAGTCGCAGATAATTAACTGCCGTTTGAATTTATTTGATTATGTATTATTTACCTTGTTTTTATTTACATCCCAGTTATTTCGATCAACCGTTTTGCAGTTGTTTAATTTTCCATCTCATCTTCACGCAAAGGAGAGACACTCAACCGTTTTGCCGCTTTCCCCGCTTGCCCCCCGGGGTTTATTCCGAGGGTCATTCCGATGGGACGAACAACAACCTGGCCGTCGAAGTAAGAGACAGAAGGCAGCAATCTCTCGTGTTAGGTAATGAAAGGGCGATAACAAGCTCCAAATATCTGTGAAGAACTGATAGGCACGTTTCCGGCTTGTCGATAAGGCGGCCTTGACCGTTTCGCCCCATCGCGAACCCCAGACGGCCGGATACGTTACATTCTCCTCTTCTTCATGTGAATGTTTATACCACGTCGGAAGATATTCTAGCGGCAATCCTGCCCCAAAATGGCCCTCAGTGACCCCCGTTCAGGGCAATCGTGTCGCCATTGCCTGCCGCTAGCAAAAGAAAAAAAAAAAAAAAAGCTTACTGCAATGCCGGCACTCGTTTGGGAACCAGCATTAAACAAGGTTAACGCATCAAAACAGGTCGGGAAAAGCCCGAGCGGTGAGACGTGTAAAACGGCGGCCCTCTGACAGGCTTGGAGGACTCGCGGCGTTACATCTGGCGCGTTGTGGCTCTGGCGCTGCTCAGCTTGCCTGCATGTCCGCTTACAAGGTTCCGCAAATGTGCAGAAGAAAACGGAGCCTCGCAGGGCCAAAATCCCGCCAAAACAGGGAACAAGAGGAGGAGAAAAAAAAGCACGGGCTTCGTCGCGCATAATGCAGAGACGAGGGCCCGTCGGCGGGGAGGAGGGAGAGGAATCCGAATCCAGAGGAGATTTGCTGCTTCAATTTGCATTGCCCCCCTCCCCCCGTGTAAAAGGCAAAGAGATTCAATTTTGACAGGCGGCCGATTGATTTCTTTGTTTAATTGCAATATCGCGATCCGGGTTGCCGGTCCTGTCTAATTTCCACACGCCCGGATTCTCGCGACATTCACCTGAGGAGCTAATCGTTACTTGTAGTCGGGGAGCTTCCGCGGGCCCGAATATTTGGGAGCAATGCTGGTACCGCTAGTTGTCGTGGTTCTAAGCCTTAGCAGGGAAGTACAACAGCTACAGGCAAAATACAGTAGAGACCATGGGCTCTTTCAGCCAGGGCTAATTTCAGCCGATGTTACAAAGCAGCCTAGTATCGTGATTGCGGCCGAGAAGCCTCTTGATGGAACTCGTACGAGTATTACTCTTACTCTTACTCTCTTCCCACTAGCAGTAATACTCCGCATTCTTGAGAGAGTAAGAAGAAAAAAGTCTCACTACGAGACCCTACTATAATAACCCCGTGGGGAAAAAAAGGAAGAATAATGCTGCTGCCTGCCTTTTGAACTCCTGATGTCCGGTTCAATTGAAAAGGGAAAGCTTGGACACTGTGGCGATGCCATTTTGGGCGGCGTTGATTGGCCTGCGTGGTTTTCGTCCCCTCCTCTCCTCTCCTCTCCCCTTCGTCCATGTACGAGCAGCTACACAAGTACAGGCAGTTTTCGTGGAGTAACAGCATTAATAACAGCATACCTACTGTAAATAGAACAAAAAAAAAAAAAAAGCAAACCATCAGTTACGAGCCTGCGACAGCCAACATGGGCGGTTGCGGCAAGTCATTGGCCACAAAAGCCACAAAGGATGCTGCACCCGTGAGCATTCGTTGGTCTGTTTCATGAATGGGAAGCAGCAAAAAAGCAATAGCCCGTGGACCAAGGAAAAGTCTTTGAGGTCATGCGGCGGAGAGCTATGCGTTGGCAAGCTCTGGGTGCTTGCAGCTTGTTTCTGCTCTGGACGGGTGTCCTGGTGACCCAATGGGGGCGGGTCGGGAGGACCCTGCAGAGCATTGGCTCTCTCCCACTCCCCCCTGAGAGGAGGACGGGAACTGACTGATACCCATCCATACGCTCAGTCAGTGCAATGATCCATATCAAACCCCCTCCAGAAGGCGAGGACAGGTGACCCGACTGTCGCAGACACTCGCTGGTGCGCTGGCGCCGAGGGACTGGGCGAGCAAGGCCCCAATGTCACCCCCTCTGGACTTCTGGGCCTTGAAGGTTTGCAGCCTGCGAGGCTCTGCATCGTCCGGTCGCCTTTACCCCATGATCTTGGAGCAATTGCGCTGGGTCAGGCGCAGCAAGATGAAGCAGCGGCAAGCCTCAGCCGGCGTCAATCAGCACCAGCGCCTCCATCCGGGCCGTTTCTCCTCTGATCAAGAGGCGAGGGAAGGGCAGGGACAGGCAAGGCCTTGTCTGGCGGCCTGGCCTGGCCTCGATGTTTGTGATCACCAAAGACAGCAGCGATTCGGTACAGGGCTGGGTCACCTGGCCAGTGTGCTGGACCAGTATCAGAGCCCCCGGCCCCCCAGTCAGGGCACGTCACATCCACGGCGGCTCAGCAGCTCACTCACTCATTTCAAGCTGCGCTCTGTGCCCGTACTGGTAGGCTGTACGTACTCGTAGCACCTCTCAATTCGCCGAGCGGCTCGAAGAGGGGGGGACCCTTTGAATAGCCGTCGGTCCAATTGCGCGACCGTGGATTGGCCCTGATTGATGCCATCTCCATGGCCTAGCTCGAGACCTTCTGAGAGAAGATGCGCACAGCAATGGCGGTTAAGCCGTGAATTGAGCTCAGCATTGGACAATCTCGCCTCTGTCCATCTCAATTGTCCGTCACACGTCTGCGCAAGCGAACGTGACATGACTCTTTGAGCCTGAAGCCGCCCGAATGCCGAATGCGCATCTCGCGGAAACCAGCCACTAACCCGAAAGCCGCCAGGGCAGAGAAGCCAGTGAGCAAAAGTGAAATCTGCCCTGTATGTCTGTCTGGTGGTGTTTGTACGGATTCGGCATCCGTCAATTCGGGAGGCAAAGGTAAACGGAGGCTCTAGAACGGAGGCTCTAGAACCGTTTCTCGGGGCCGCATGGCGAACGCAGCGAAAGCGCTTGGACCGTTTGCGGGGGCGAGAAAAATCGCTGAGGGAGACAGCGAGAAGAGAAAAAGAAAAGTGCACCGCGTGACGGGAATTGCAATTTCCAGACTCCCTCTTTGGCCGATAGCTACCTGTTGAGGCACAGCGCTGTCGGACCGATCTTCGTCTAGTCTTAAAGGGGGAATAGCTAGACATCTTGGGGCAAAGCATCTTCTCTCTGTTAAACGGATCTCTTGAAGGGGGACCGTCACATGATTGTGTCCGTCGCGACAGGGCCGAACGTCGTGCTGGGATGGCAGGGCTTCAGAGCTGAGAACGGAGTAGATGGACAGTTCCTGAATTGTACTAGAAGAAAAAGCAAGCGCTAATCTTATATGGGAATCTTTTTAATATCACTGGGCGCGAGTGATGCCTCTTTGGGGAAAGGCCAGTATGACTGGTCGTGCGCGCTAATCTCTCCGGGGAGGCGGCGGCACCTCTCCGAACCAGCGCACAGGTTTTCCCTCGTCCCCCTTCTGGCATCTCTGGTGCTGAGACCCCTGCCGCCAGCGCTTTTTTGCCCTGGAATCAGTCCTGGGCTGTCCTTTTCGTGCCCCCACAGCGACTCGCCCACCCTTAGCGCCAAATTCATCCCAATTGCCCACCTGGCGGCACCTCCGTGCTCCCAACCGGGGTCGCGGTACGTACCTCAGTACCTCCGTACCTGTACTGTACAACGGCCAAGGTACCATCCCCCTCCATTTCCATTTCTTTTCCCACTCCCCACTCCCCACTCCCACACCCCGGGGTGGTGCCTGCCCTTGCGTGAAGGCAGTACGTTCGTCTTCACTCCCCCCAATTCCACCCTCTTCTTAAAACCTGTCATGGCCCAAAGATACACCCTACTTCTTAATAACTAGATCTTGTTCCCCAGCTTCTCGACGACCTCTTGACTCTATTCTCCATTCTCCGCATACCCATACAAAAGAGGGCACGACATCAACATACTTGAAGGGCCTCATCCTCTACTCTTAATCACCCTTCCCTCTCACCAGCCCAAAGCACCTCTCCGAATCCGACGCCGCTCGATTCACCCGCAGCGCCCCCTCATCGACGACTCCATATAATACGCATTCGGCCTTTGCTCGCATCTGGTCGAATCCTCAACGTCGATTGAACTGCACTACACTTCCGGAGACGATTGGACTTGGTAATTGCCAGAGTTCAAACTTGATCACCGGGCAATTTGACCACCGACACCTTCTTGCATCATCCGCAACACTCAACCTCACCATCATCGTGGACCCAACGCTCGACACTCTCGAGCATCTTCACCCGGCAGCGATGCCCTACCGCCTAGATACACACGTGTTAACAGTGGATGCCAACGTCATCCACAAGGTCGACACCGGAAACCCTGCCAACCTGTATTCTATGTGGACAGGTAAGGACTTGGCGATCAGAATGGGAAGAGGCAGCCGAGGATCAACACTAACACACTATGGTTTAGTCTTCTCTCGCTGCGCAGACTCAGTTGAACAAGGCCGCAGATTGGAGAACCTGAGCTGGAGACTCTGGCAACGAGAACAACTCATCGACAACGCCCACAGATCATCAACAGTCCAGTCTACCAAGACTGCCCCCAGAGCCATCCCTTCAGAGGCCCGCCTTCCCGAGCTTCCTCAGCTCTCTGGCAGTGTCGACTCCCTCGCGGACGACGACACTCCCGAATTCACTTCCGTCTCAGCTCCCCTCGAGATCCGCCCCAGGATACGACGACTAGACTCTTCCGCTAGCCGCCGGGATCGCCACATCAGCTCCGACGACTTTGAGAAGATGGTTGTCTCCATTGTCAAGGACAAGGCTCCCCTTTCCGCTCCCACTCAAACCTCTCCCCTAAGCAAGCCAGTCGAGTCCATCACCCGATCTGGATCCACCACCACCGAGTCCCGCTTCTCCGAGCAGCCCTCAGAGGTCTCACTAGCATCTGCCGAGATGGAATCCTCTTCCCCCAAGGACATCGCCGGCATTCCCGTCTTCCAAGCTCCCCCCATGCCTACCGCCTCCATCGACGACTGCATTCCCGAGCCCAGCTCATCACCAGCCCACAAGCCCGTCCAGGCCAAGAAGCAACCCGCCAGGTTTGCCCTTGGAGCTTCATGCTCATCAAGTGAGGCTGGCCAGAGCGTCGAGACTCGCAAGTCAGTCTTGGCTTCCAAGAAGCCCATGTTCCAGATTGGTGGCTCTTCCGAGGAGGAGAGCTCCCTCGCCAGTGGTCATGCAGCCAAGCAGACTTCCTTCAGCACCAACAACATCACTCACCACCTTGATGCCGAGTCTGCCATTGACTCCGACACCGAGGGTGAGTACATCGATGAGAGTGCCATTGATGACGATGACGACTCCTCTGACTGGGAGGACTCCATCGATGAGAGCGGAAAGCCCAGTGTCGATGAGAAGTTCTTCCAGCGTGTTGAGTCCAAGGTCAACCTGACCTCCCGACCATCGCTCATCACCTTGATGCTTGCTCAGAACGACCGTGCCATGAACCTTGGCAACCAAGCCTCTCAATCTACCTCTGCTCTCTCCAGGTCACGATCTCTCATGAACGGATCGTCACTGGCTGCTTCACCTAACGACTCCGACGATGGCCCCCTCATGATGAAGGGCATGCGCCAGTCAACAACATTGAAGCCTATCAATGAGATTCCTCGATCCAGTGCCCAGCCCATTGCCGCCACCGCCAACCACGTACATGCCCAGGCTGCTCTCTCTCCTCGAACAACCCGCCGCAACATGCTCGCCACTGAGCTTACCGAGTCTCTTCGACGCCACCTTCTCTGGGAGCGACAGCAGAAGTCGTCCACCGCCAATGCTGTCCTCAAGCGTCGACACACATCACACGATGTTGCCAACCTGAAGCAGTACCCAGAGAGGCCGTGCTTGAAGCAGGCTGAGGATGTTAACGCGAGCAGCTGGAACCAGTACTTCACCAAGGAGGCATTCAATGGCTACCACTCCAAGGGCTGGTAGACGATCATGACGACGATTGACCTGTTAGGCAAGGCTTTAATCATTTTTATATATGCCTTTGGCCGTGTATATCACATTTAATGGCGTTTGGGGTTTCGATTTCACATCATCATGGCAGCAAACATGGGCTGCACAGGCGAAACGGAACTACGTCATGACTAAAGCGACATAACACTTTTCTTTTCTTTACATTCTTCTTCTCTTGTTACATCTTTGGTCTCATAATGTCTGGTTGAGACACTTCAAAACAAAAACTCATTCGCACTTTACGTGGCGTTGCTTTTCATATGATACCATGGCCTGAGCTTTCGATTTGTTCACAGTGGCTCTGAAGGGGCTCACGAATTTTTTCTGTTTCAACCGAGTGTATTCTAGTGGGTCGGGAAGATGCGTTGTCTCCAGGGGCGACCTTGGTCAGGGAAAATTTTTTCTTTTTACTCTTATTTCCAGCGAAGACATGAAGCGGGGACAAAAAAAAAAGAAGTCCCATGCGCGGGTCTACAGAAGACCGAAAAAAAAGAAGGCAGCAAAAAGATGGAAAAGCTTAGTGGAGGCCAAAAAGAGGAGCTCCCGTGGGTCTTTTTTCTAAAACAATGTGTTGTTTTCTACGAGATATGTCAACCAAAAGGTTATTACCAAACAAAGGTGTCTTTTAGATGGACAGCCTGGCCAAAAACATTAATAAATTCTTGATGAAAAATTTTCTTGCTCATTTGCTCTGTGCCGCGTGAAGGATTGTGTGCCAATGACATGCCAATGTGAAGTGAAATGGCGGAATAGCATGGGGGTTTCTTCATGTGAACTTTTGCAATTAATTGATTCCTTGACTAACGATTAATCTGCAGTATATAGTACTCTATTTCTGGGCTGATGGTTGCGTCTGCCAACAAGTACCGAGTACGGCACCTCTGCTCGCATACCCTTGGCAGTAACAGCGGCTTTTTGCTGCTTCTCTGCTTCTTTCTCGGTGCTACTACGAAACTACCTACTAGGTCGATAACATGCAATCCATTCTTTTTCCGCGACCTGCATGCACGTAAGATGCTTTGGGGCATGAGAAAATTTTCAAGTACAGTAGGGCCGTTGGCACTGACCCCATATTGACTCATTCCCGTCCGCGTCCCCCATGGCGGTGAAGGAGGGACAAGCAAGAGAATGACTACGACTACGAGTTAGGTGCCCAGAATTTTTGAGCCGCCCCAGAGAGGCCGGGCGGCATTTGGGAAGCGGAAGTCCACCGCGACTCCACAGAAACCGAATGAGCCGGTGCAAGCAAGAGAAGACGAGATGTGAGGGGGGCGGTTTGGATTGGGATTGGGGGGAGTACCAAAGAGAAGGAGATGGAAGTGGACGGTATTCCGGATTGTCGCGGCTACGGATCGGTTACGGGGTTGTCGGAATCGGGAGTGAGAAGGTACAGTAGTCGCGATTTCGGGGTGAGATGCTGCTTGTGAATTTGAGCTGGAGAGCTTAGCACGAGCTGTTTTTGGAGCTAAGGGCTGGTTTGAGGCTGAGGAACAAGGGCCGCGAGTGTTCAATTCAAAGGGGCGCAAATCGGCAATTGAGTGATGACCAATAGGGAAGATTGGGGACATGACGGCAATTAGATTTCACAGCAAAATGTGTTGGAGGGGGGATCTCGAATCTACGGCTACGGCCACGAGTTTGTTGTGAATAATTTGTGAGGGGGGAGTTTCTTTTTGCCGATGGAGCCAGAGCCACGAGATCCGAGGATCCGTTGGCAGTGGGAAAAATTGACAGGTTGTGGTGGGGGAGAAGAATGGCATAACATGCGTGTGTGTACAGTAAATGACATTTATTCTGGGGCGGGCAAGACACAATTGATTTCAAACAAAGAATAAAGAATTAATTGAAAAAAAGAGAGATAATTGTTGTGTGGCTTTTCCCCCAATTTGGGGTAGATTTTCCTGAATCGTTTGACCCCCATCCATTATGTTTGTGGCTTGTTGCTTTTGAACTTGTCAATTCATTCTGAGGCGCGGCAATTTTTTAACAGGTGGAGAGAACAAGTGGGAAATTGACAGCTGTCAAAGAAGGAGCCTGAGTTTCGGTGATTTTTCTTTTTACCGCGGAAAGAGAGCGGGTTGCAATAACAAGAGGATGGCACAACTTGTTCGGACCTCGGAATGAGGTAGAACAATGATCGGATGAGCTATTGATTCTGTTTAGTATAAGCCGACGAGAGACGAAGCGGCTTTCGGCAATTCTTTCCCCCCTGTGAACGGAACTTCTGCCGCTTTTCTGCTAAAGAAACGAAATGGTGTTCGGATCGTTGCGGAAGGGCGTTTTTCTTGTCGGGTCTAAGGATATGCGCAATGGATGCTAAAACAAACAAGGCGCGGCTCTTCGGTTTCTTTTGGTAGATGCCTGGAATCTGCGGGTTTTTTGGGGAGGGATGGGCGGTTACAACACATTCATTACAAGAGGCTAAAACGGCTGGATGGCCGGATCTCGCGCGGTTAAGGGTTCAAAAGAGGCGTTCTTGGGCCTGTGAATAGTGCAGACATGGCGTTATGGAGGTTGCTCAGGACGAGTCGGGGACATGATTCAGGTTTGAGTGCTGCCTGGGTTGTGTTGTTGCGCTATTAGGATGTGCAGCTTATTTAGAGCATCATGTTTATTTCAATCTACTCGTGCAAGACGCTACATGTTGTATAACTGATGTATGTTCTACAGTACTCATAGGTATATGACTTGTCTGGAGGAGGAGGGAGCCAAATGCGTCAAGAAGATCCTTTAGGAGATCGTGATTCAGGTACGCACGCAGGGCACATGCAGCAATAAGCATGCCAAGCAGCCAGGAAACGCGGCTTCCACCCATCCCTCCACGAACAGCACGTTACGAGCACGAGGCAGCAACAAGTGTCAAAGATCAGATGGCATGGCTTGTTCTCTTTTTTGCCTATCCGCCATCGCAGGACAGGGCTCCGCTTCCCCGGCAAAATTACGTTCGGCTAGAAACCACACAGCAGGTTATTGCGGCTGGATTCAGCTAGCTGGGGAACGCCTCTTCACGTTTGCTGGCTTTTGAGTTTTTTTCCTGCTCCGTAATTTCCTCTTCCTTTCCCCGGACGCTAGAGAATCTGGGGGCGGCGTTCGGAGCTGAGAGCTGGAGCTGAGCTGATAATTGGCGGCTTCGTTTTCCCTCTTTGCTCTCGTTGCGGATCTGGGGAACAAGACGCCGGACGGAGAATGTCAGAGTGACAGCTTTTGGTCTGGGTGGACATGGACACACGGGCTATGATGCCCGAAAATACTGCCGATGGGCGATTTCACCGGGCGAAATTTGGCCGGCCCATGATTTGCGCCGGTCATGATGCCATTGCCCGGCGATGGGAACGAGATGGACAGTCTCGATGGATGATGAAAGTGAAGTCATAGCCTTGGGGGGATGAGCATCGAGAGTCTTGCGAGCATCACGGCAGAAGCGATCGATGGGAATAATGGGGGCCCCCGTGATGCTTACTCCACGCTCATCGACAGGCTCTGCGTTGAGCGATAGACGACTCCCGACAGACGATCGCCATCACCTGCCCCAGTGATATAGGGCTGCTGCTCCTACAGCACATACATACATAAACGAAACATACATACATACAGATAACCTTGGCCTACCTTATGGCTAAATGTGCCCCATACACACACCCATACACACACTCACTTATATTGACAAATGGAACAAATGGAGCAGCCTAAACGTTGAACCGACGTGGTGGGAAGCTATTCTCCTCCTGTTAGGAGGGTAACAGAGGGTGTTGCTCCTCAAGACACTGATCATCATGGACGAGATCACACACGCTGCCACCCCAGTATTACGCTTTGAGCAAATGAAGATCCCGATTAAGCCATCCCCAGAACCCCATCCGTGCTCAACCAACCCCCCCACTTACACTTCTCTTTACACTACTGGAAGACCAAGAACAACACTTTGTAGTTCGGGCAATGGGATGAATTCTGTTGCCTGTTCGTTGGCTCTGGCGTCTCCCTTCGTCTCCCTACTCTTTCCGTCTCCCGTCTTCCGTTTCCGTTGGCGTCGTTCATAGAAGGGAAATAAATTCATCACGCGCCAAAGCGGCCTTTAGCGGCTTTGCTTGGAGACGGAAATTAGAGGGCGGGCGTGCGTCAGGGTTTTTGACGATTTCCCTTTCCGAGTGACCCCCCATGGGGAAATGATGGCCTTGAAACTTTTAACTCCCTGGGCGAGCTTGTTCTTCTTTTGCAGTTTTGGGCGATATTGCGAGAAGCCGGCTTTTCTGGGGGCGTGGGATGAAGGAGGAGGAGTGTGTTGTCATTGAATCCCTCAGCCTTGTCATTTGTTTCTGACACCTCCCTCACTATTCTTCGCCCAGCTGCTCCCTCCCCTTTTTTTTTTGTTCGGCTGGGAAGCCTTGTCTTGGCAGCATGCATGCGTGCATGACGATGCTACTGCTTTGGATTTTTTTTTTTTAGCTACGGCGAGTCACGAGCGAATAAGTGCTGCAGCGCCCGGCTTACAAGCCAGCAGACTGCCGGTGACGGTCCTTACGTCAGGACCGGCGTCTCAACACAACATAGGGGTCCAAATGACTCGGACGACGATCCGTCTAGAAGGGCGCTCATGCCAACCCGAAAAGAATACTTTAAGAGCCCACCAATCCAGAGCCAGTCATTTTTCTTCAGCATTGCATTTACCGTACAGTAGTTTAGTCTCACCGGAAGCTAAGCACAGCGCCCCCGGGGGAGGAAAGCCGTAGCGAGAGAAACTGCACGTCGGCGATGGCGTACCGAGCGCCGATGGAGGATTTTCAACCTAGATCCGGCTTTTTGGATGCTTAGTTTGGCTTCTCTTTCGGGGCTTGGTTGCGGGTTAAGGGATGTTTTGTTCTTTTCTGGATGGTGCATCGGGTCAGTTTTTCATGCGCATGGAGATGGGAATGGGCGTGGCGGTGAAGGGCGAGACATGTTGGCTGCAGAGAGACGTTTCAGATTTTTCTATTTTAATTTATTTTATATTCTTGATGAGCTAGTGATGCAACGAATTTATTTCTTTGTTGTATTTTATTTATTTTTTGCAAGCGGATGGTCATGTTGCGGTAGAGGATTGGATCAGCATTGAGTGCGTGATGATTGTGTGAATAGAGGTAACATGCAAGGTCCAATGTGACAGGAACAGAACTACACAGTTTGGCCGATCTTGCTTTCCCCAGATCGAAAACGTGGAAATAATAAAATAAAGAGATTAAACAAATAATAAAATAAATGAATTAAACAATTATGATTATTATTCTTTTCGTACGCCAACCCAAGTATACGGTAATATTACCAAGCCAAAGCGAAATAAGGAAAAAAAGACATTCGGCATTGAAACCCGGGAATTTTCCTTTTGCTTTCTCGTCCTTCTTTGCTGGGCGCACGCCTCCCGAGATGAAAAGAATCCCACGAATTGGGCCGCAATGAAATAAGAAAAGAACCAAAGGCTTACCCCCCCTCCAAGTGCGGCTGTACGTAACTGTACTTGAGCAGCTGTAGATGATGTATTTAATGCGCTGCGGACTAGTTTGGGCTTGATGATTATGGGCTTGCCCTTTCACCGATGAGCTTTTGCATTACGGTCCGAAGAAAAAGAGGGGCTGCCGGTGCGGTGGGAAAGAAAAAGAAATAATCAAAACTAAAATGAACGGAAAATACCGAAACCAGAGAATGGACTGAATGAATGACTGACTTAGCCTGTGCGCCTCTTCGGGGATGTTAGTGGTTTTTTTCTTGAATCGGTCATATTCTTGCGAAAAGGGGGGAACAAGCCTCGGAACCTCGATCGCAAGTGAATCAATGGTAGGCCAATGGGGAGAAGTTGTGTGGCTACGTCATTGCCGGGTTTGGATTGACATGTCTGTATTTCGGTTGTTTGCGAGTCTTTTCCTTGTTTGCACGCATGCGCCTGACAAATGCCCTGAAGAAGGGGGAATAAGCTGAGAAAAAAAAAATTGATGAAATGATAAATTGAGTATTTTATTTTACCTTTTTTTTCTGGAATTATTTTAGTATTGTTTTTTATTTTATTTGACATCTTTTTTGGTTGTCGCTCCCGCGGAAGTGTCTGGAAAATACGTGCCTTTTCTGACAAAGCATTCAAGCCTTTTCGCGCACCCGGATTTCCTTGCTCAAACAGGCAATTCACCCAGTGGCAACAGACAGAACGTTGGTTTTCCTTTTCTCCAGCCACAGCTACATCTGTCAAAGTAGACAACACGCGGAGTATCGCACCGCCACTGACATCTGGCCTGTCAGCGGCAGCACTCCGAAGCAACTTGTGGCGCGTCGGTGACTTCTCGGCCGCGCTTCGTCTTGCCCATCTAGTGCGGTACTCCGCGATTTCTATGGAGATGATCGGTTATTCTTTTTCTTTTCGGTAACAAGTTTCTGTTCGGCGAGGTGGCTGGATGGGAGATGACATCGCCTCGTGGCATTCATGTGGCAGGATAAAAGAATTGTTTGCTTTCTTTGTTTGCCATCGTCGGTTGCAAGACCAGCCGAGGGTGAATGTGGCTGCAGGTGGCACGGCGGTGATTCGGGGGTCTCCCGGACGGAGAATGAGTCTCGTGGCTACGATGCTTTTTGGGATCAATCCTATTGACTGATGATACGAAGCTTGGGGGGCTGTACCGTAGCAGACTGTCACCGCATCAAGCAAGTCGAAACGATACCGCCTCTCTTGGCTTTACTCTCCTTGTCACAAAGATCCCCTACTTTGATATGATATGATATGGTACAGGCACATGGGAAACAAACAAGCATTTTCTCTTATCTCGCAGAGGTTACATTTGACAGGGATTGCAACAAATGGAGGTTGCGACGTGCCGCAACGTGTCTCAACACAAGAACCGCTCCGATATTAAAGTTGCCTGTTTTGGCTAGTTGACCCCAAACGCTTGTTGTCGCGTTACATCCCTAAGAGGAAGAAACCTCCTTCTCTGGGGTGGGAGAGGGACTTTGGGAACGGTGACATGTCTTTACGTTGTCTTTTCCTCTTCCGGCGGGCCTTTGGGGTATTTCATTATTCATTGCTTCTGCCAGCCAACAGCCTAACATAGTCATGTCCCCTTCCACATGACACATCCAAGGCGGGCTGGGCTGGAATGTCGGAGATGGCGTTAAACTCAAACGTGGGAGACCGCAGAAAATCGCCAGAGAAAAAGAACAAAGGACAAAGAGGGTGTCGAGACCCCGCTTTCAGCCATTCTTCTAGAATGCTTCTGCGACACGTGGGAAACCCGTCGCCACTGGGGTAATTTTGGTCAATGGGTGGTGGAGTGTGTGGCATGCATGTTCAAGTCAGCTATGGCTTAAACCCGAATACGGGGGCCAAACATTGTCAGCCCATACCGCTCATTAGCCTAATGGCAGTCTCCGCCGTTTCCCACCGGAATGTCATTCTCCGACGGAAACTCGCTGGTCTTTTTGGATGGGCGGTCTAGCCAGAGGACAATGAGGCAAGTTGGCACGTTCCACTCCTTCGGTGGGGGCATTGTGAATATCTCGTTGCCTGAAGCTTGAACTCTTTTGACTAAGAATGGGGGTGGGTTGTGTGGTTGTGTAAGTCAGACAGTTGATAAGCTTGTTGTTGACTGAACCAGAAAAGTGGCTCTTGAATGCTACCTATTATCCATAGCATTGGGTTTACTTTTAGCTGTTGAGTGTTCATGTGAGGCTACTATCTTGTCTACACTTGTAGTTGTGCTGTAACTTCAGTTGTATCTGCTGGAGGGAGCCAACTTCATTCAGCCTCTGCGGCCTCTTTCACATTGGGATTGTCTTCAAGCAAACGCCGCCACACGTGGCAGCGCACCGCAGTTGTTGCCGCATGCCGGCGTCCCCTTGCGGCATAGAGATATATGAAGCTGAACTCCCGCGAAATCCGCAAAAGCCGCGTATGTGGCTTCTAGCCGGTGGCTTTGCGGTTTGGGCGGTTTGGGCGGCTTAGGCGGTTTGCCCACGTTGTGAATCTCGAGTATGCGCCTGTAATCTAACTGCGCGGGAAGGGCGGATAATGCTCCCTTTAGCACAATCGCGCAAAGTTGCTTGTGGCGCTGTTGTTTGGGACACAGAACAGTAAGATTGTAGAGAGGCTTTTCAGCCACGAAAGGACACGGGGGATGTATAATTGGACCTGTTGCGGATGAATTCTTTCGACGCTACGCCCATTCAGTTTATTACCGGGGGTCGGCTGAATTACGAGAGCCTTCTCATCTTCCTTTTGCCCATATTTCAACTTCCTTTTGCGTTGCTTATGATTAAGCGAGCATTACTACGCCTTGCTTCTTTCTGCGAAAGGCAAATATACAGTCTCACCCAAGATGACATCGGTTGCAGGCGATACTCTGTTTGTTTAAAACAAGATGTTTACAAATGAAGCAAAATCAAGAATTACAAGATACACCCTCCCTCTATCATCGTAACCATCGTATTTTCTCACCAACTGCAAGCGAAACCACCCTTTAGTCCGATTTGATGACATTCAGAAGCATGACATTGGCTGAGGCGTGGCGCGACTCCCGGCTCCATGTCCGGTTTGCGGATCGATTTCCCGGGTCGCGCTCGGCAAGCAAGATGGAGCCCGGCGCCGGATCTGAGCCCGCTTCGGTCGCTTGTTTCAGCGAGCGAATCTGGCTTTACACGTGCGCATTCAGTTGACTTGTCGCTGACCCTAAACGCTTGCTGCGGACGCGCGTGACGCAGCTTTTTCATATGAGGTAAGCTGGGCAAGCTTTGCCCAGTAAGCAGGATTAATCAATTATATTATTTGACGAGTAGCATCTCCGAAAGCTTGCTTGTCATTAAATGCGAATCTCTAAATTGCCTGTTCATCTGTTTTGATGTTGTACGCGTGACGCATTCTGAAGACCCCTGGGGCCTGGAGAGCTCGCCGCAGCCCGTGGGGAAGATTCGGGAGCAACGTAACCACAGCTAAAGCTTATTGCGAAAGTGAGGCTTTCGAGATTCAGGGCCTAATTAACTGCTGAGAAGTTGCCGCTGCGGCATCTTGTTGCCGAGTCAAGCGAGATTCTCAGCGGCGTTTGCTGTGGCGCGTATCGAGGCGTTGATGGGATTAACTAACAAAACATTTATTCAACAATTAAAGGTGCCTCTTTTTTCTTTTCTTTTTTTGCCTCGTCCGGAAGCCACCCGACAGCTACACCGAGGACAAAAGAGGCTGAGAGTCTTTTTGCTCGGAGTTGCTACCGAAGTTGGCTCTCACAAGGGACTTGTGTTGCTTTTATCTCCCCGACTTTGGCCCTCGGCTTATTCCCGCCAATAAGACAAGCGCAAAAGGTTTCGTAAACCAACACGGTTGTTGTCGGTTGGATTGAGCATTTCGGAACAGCTTCAATTTCTCGTCGCTTGCCCATGAGAAGCACATGAAAAGTAATCTATCTGTTGTCATTTCAGGGGAAACGGGATAGATGGCAGACGCGGCATGGCCCTCGGCGCTGTGCATGCATCAGCATGTGCTCATCACTTAATCGGCCCAGTCACAGGCACAGACTCGCATCCCTGTAACTTCGTATTTTACTTGCTTCTGCTTGCTGTACCTATTTTGCGTGCGCTGGCCCTATCGCATCGAACCCGCAGTTGATCAACTACCAGCCCTACGCCTGCAGCCGTTCGATGACGAAGTGACATTCGACCATCCAAGGACCCATGCTGATTAATTTATTATACCTTCATCCCGCTGCAGCCCTTGGGCGCGTGCGCTGTCACTTGATTTACGATTGTGTTTTGATTTGCATGGGATGAACGTTGTTTTCTTGTCGCTGACACATGTCGATGGGAAAAATAGCCTTTCGAACGAGCAGAAGCTTGTGTCGGATTGCATTGCGCGAAGTGGTATGGCGCCGATCAGCCAGAGGATTTAAATATAGATAAATAGATAAAATAAATCGCGGGAATAAAAAATTAATAGCTAAAAGCTGAAGATAAAATAGGCAAATACATTTAGGTAGATTAAAAATGCGACCGAAACTTTGAAGGCTAACAGTCAAATTAACCACCAATACGCGCCATCCCCCCAACCTGTGCTAAGAAAGGAATATCCTCCAGTAAGAAGCGCGACGAGACCTGAAAATTTCACCCTCTCATGTGATTCTCTTTTCATCGCCTCCACAGAGCGGGGGAAAAGCGCAAACGAAGCGCAAACTGGCTGCAAGGGGACAAGCAGATTCCGGTGCAATGAGGGGGGCTCAGCACTTCGTATTACTACTTACTACCAGCAGCCAGCCATCGACGGTACGCTGGGGATTTGATTTGCCCTCATCATATTCTCTGTGCCTCATCGTTTGTTGCTCACCTGACGCGTATTTCCAAGGGAAGCAAAACCTTGTTCACTTCGCTCTTCAGCTGCGCGCTCTACTGGACATGGACTGTCGGTTGGAGCGGTTCTCTTCGGCTAGACAATGATATAGAGGCAGCTACCTGTGCCGCAGTGGCAAACTACATGAACCATTGGCCCTGATAGCAGGAGCAGGACAGCCAAACGTCACCAATGATGCAGGCCTCAACCACCTTTCGGGCCTATGCAGTGGTGCAGAGCTGCTTTGGGCCAAGAGCAGACAGAAAGATGACAATGCATGCGATATGCAATTCTCAGGGGGTGGAAGGGCCGTTCACGTGCCTTGCCGTTGCTGATCCGGGCTGCCTCTGTCATCGTGAACCATGACATCATGGTGTTGTTTCTCGGCTTGTCTGCCCCCCTCATCCGCAGTAAAGCTTCGTTGTTTTTGTTGTTGTAAACGCCGGGACGTCTCCCCAGGGCTTGCCCTCAATTGGCAAAATGGAGGGGGAAGAGAATACGGCAATTGAAATAGTAGAGTAGATCAAATTCCATCAGAACCAACAGCATCAAATTGCGTTGGGATATTCCAGCCACTGTTGTAAGAATAACAAACAGCGGACACGTTGAGAGTCAATTTGGGAGGCTTTCCTATTTAGGCAACACCCCTCTGATCCTGATGATCGTTTTACCGCAGCCTGACGCCATGGACTCTGTACATCTACCTACGTGCAACGAGCCAGCTGATCGCTGTTATATCGAGATTTCGTGACAGTTGATGGCTGCAGGATGTTTTGCCGTAAACCATTGTCTGCGGAGAAATGGGAGAAATGGAGGTTGGCGTGCACATTCGGTTGGCATGCCGAGCAGCTTTTACCCAAGGACGGCGCCCGCTGAGGCGACTTGATATCAGATTGCCAAGTCTAGACCTGCATTGGACCTGACACAAATACGATAAAATAAAATAACTATAGATAAAATCAAACAAATATGGATTCAATAATAAATTCTCCGCAAAGTGCCAGAGCTGTGCTGCCTGCCCCAAGCCATTGCGCCCCAGTTCTCGTATTCTTACCGTTCCCGCCTCCATATATAATTCTGCACAAACACATCGCAGCTATTAAGCTACCGAACCACCTCAGCACGGCTCCTCTTCCCGCTTTCCCCAGGGAAGCCGTTGAAAGGCTGTTTTTTACCGTTGAATATGGCCGTTCCCCCAGACTTGTAGCATATAAGCGCCAATTGAGCGTTTCTTGCTAACCTGCGAGGCAAAGCATGTTGTCTGCGAATCAAGGCACGCATCGTCGTGGCGCCGCAATTATTAGACTTTTGGCCGAAGCTACTTGACGGATCTCCGGAGAAACTAAACAGGCACACAATACAATGAATGAGATGGGGGATGCGGAAAGCGAAAAGCGAGCAGAAACAGGGACCGTTGAAGATTGCGGCTCTGCACTTCATGCAGCCTACATGGGCTATTGAATGAGATAAATGAACATGGCGTCTTTGGGCGATTCAATCTTGGCGGATCATGGTCTAGCGTTACGATGCAATTGGTGCGAACTAGTTGTTTCTTCCAATGTTGACTTTGAAACTAATCGTTAACTTGCATACGGCTTTTTCGGCACTTGCGGTGCGAAGGAGTAATACTACCTTTTGGTTTTATTTTTATAAGTTGCCTTCTCTGTCCTCTTACTGGCCAACTTAGTTCTGGTTCGTAGAACTTTGAGTGAGAGTAAAATTCGTTCACATGCTGCTCTGCACTGGCCATTATCACCACTTACAGCACCGATGACCACCTTACAATCATGAAGATGAGGCACGACGCCGAAAACCACCGAGATTGACTTTGCCAAAAGATGCCGAACGTGATTGACCCATGATAGCAGCATTCCGACGATGCCGAAAGACCCTTGCCAAGTATTCCCTATGCTTCCCTGGCTTGCATCTGCATATGTAACCCTATCCTTCGGACATTCACTTCCAATCGAGAATGAGCATCTAAATCACAGGCCCGGAGAGAGACTGAGATACGAATTTTGTTTCACGGTAGCTAGAAATGAGAAGTGTAGTCCTGAAGGATTGTTCCGTAAAGACTTTGGATCGTCCATCACGAGACCTTGTTTTGAGAGGGACTGGCCGGGCTTAGATTTGATTGCCGATGCGAGGGATCTTTTGGACATGTCAGGACAAGGAATTGAGAAGTGATGCTGCATAATTAATGTATGTCGGAGAAATAGAAAAGAAAAAGAAAAAAAGAAATAGGAAATAGGAAAAGATAATGAATAAAAGATGAATTTAAAATAAAAGAATTATAAATAAAAGGATTATATCGGAAATATTTCGATGCGGAATGAGGAGGATTATTAACCTTGTATTAAGTTTGTTGGTCCAACGTGGAAAATGGATGGCAACCATGAAGAGAAAGCATCAAACTGAATAATTGCAATCATTACACAATATCATTTCTCTTGGAAAGACAATGCCCCCGATTTGTGCTGTTATTGAACAACATAAAAGCTCCTTATCTAGACAATTCTTGATGTAAAATGGAAAGGTCACCTCGTTTGCTCATCTAAATACATATTAGCTTGCAACATATACCAATTGAATGCGTGTGAATTCCCATGGGTCATTGTTGTACCCCTAGTGGCACCGTTTAGAACGTCGCTCTGTGTTCCCTTTTGCGATATCCGTCGGGTATTTCATCTATTTATCGAGTCTCTGATGAGACGATGTGTCTATGAATCGAGGACATATACTCCCAAGCTCTTACTTGTATACTATTGTACAAGAACTAAGAGTATTCGCTGGTTTTTATTTTCAAGATGTTGGTTCAAATCATGAATGTGTCGTTACGTTGGATAAAATTCATGGCGACAATAATGTCGTACGTATTGCAAGACGCATTTCTCGTTCCAGATTCAGCCAATAGTTTCTAGTAGCATTTATTTTGCTCTGTATACTGATGCTTTCAGTCGACTACATAGTCTTTCGTACGGTTATATCAATATGAATCATGTATATACATGCCATCCCCCTTGTTCATCATGCTTCCCCGGCAACTGCCAATCCTTGACGAGCCACTAGAACCGATCTCTGGTAAGTTTTCGTTTCCGATAGCTCTGGCAGTGATATCTCCGCCGTAGCTAGGCTTGGCTTCCGCGCATCTGCGGGATCCTGCTCAGATTCGGCTGCCGGTGGCCTAATCACCCGTATGAATGCTTCCGTCACCGCCCTTCGATCATCTTTGGTTGAGCGGCACTTCTTGACATGAATGAGGGCTTCATCGAGCTTGAAGAGAGCATCCTTGTGGTCATTCTTCTCTTGGGGATGTGCCACGGCTCGCATCGCCGTTGTCTTCATGGCCAGCTTGATGCTCTCTTTACAGGCCCGGCTGCCGCGCCACCATTGGATTTCCGACGTAAAGTTGGACAGGATAGACTTCAAGGCATTGTAGCTGGCGGAGCCGGTATATGCAAAAACCAGGTTGGAAAAATTGTACTCGCTGTACAATAGCTCTCCGTTTCCGTTTTCTCTGGCAGCTACCTCGCACATGGTGGCAGCGCCTCGCAAATCGCCATTAGCCGAGAGTATTTGCGCAGCTTTGTTGTACACACTGTCGTGAATGCGAGCGCCGCGACGCAGAGCGTGCTTGATCAAATCGCCTGCATCATCCCCCTTCTCAAGCCTTGCTAGTAAAAGAGGGGTCAGGGCTTCCGTCACATCGAGGCCTTTCCCACGAGCTTCGTCAATAAGCGATGCTGCTTCATCAATGCTTCCATCTTGCCTCTTGATGTGCCCTATGACTGCTAGACGAAGGCAGCGGACTGATGGCTTCAACTCGCTTGATTGTAGTCGGCTATACGCTTCACAGACGCGCTCCCATTCATTCCGAACAGAGAGCCATTCCATGCACTCGAAAGCGTCAGCCTCAGACAACCATAGACGAGACTCAAGTAAAGGAGGCGGGACGTCAGTCGAGTCCTTTCCATCAGCTTTACTAGGTGGCAGTTTCGAGATAGCCGGCGACAACTCTTGGAGATTTTGATGTAGATCTGTTATAGTTTTGTCTGAGAAGCTCCAGTATTTGCGGCAGCCGGAATAGAATCGCTGCATAAAAGTGTCATCCATCCGAAACCCGGCATCATGGCAGAACTGCAGCCATGAAAACATCGAGTCAAGATCATGTCGGCTTGCATGCCGGTCCAAAACGAGGTTAACCCATCTAGACTTGAGGGGTATTTTGTAACTGCGCACAAATCTTCTAAGGAGAGCCTCAAGCCCTTCTGAGGAGCAAGTCTGCACAAATACATCCGTGATTTTGCTAATCATGTATCGTAAGTCGTTTGACTTAGTATCGTCAGTAGCCTCAAGCGCCTCTATGCCATTGCGGACTGATTCCCAGTGGCCAAGAGCAGCTTCCCGCACTATTAGCCTGCTCTGGAGCTTTATATCAGATTTGACTGCATCTGGATCCACTTCGTAAAGGCTCTTCATCTCCTCCTGAGCAAAGGCATCGTCTCCTGCTTTCAGAGCCTTGGATACCATAAGGCGACGTATTTTGTATTCGATATTGGGAGGTACAACAATTCTCTGGTACAGTCCGGCACTTTGTAGAAGTCGATACAAGTGTTTGATATCCTTGAAGCTCCCCATGACCTCGTCGAGACCTGAAAGCACCCGATAGAGCGTCATGCCATGCATCCAGAACCGTGTTTGTTTGCGGTCGGACAGGAGTTGAAGAAGTCGCTCTAAGCCTTTTTTATCCTTCTTCTCCCATAGCCACTTTGTTAGAGGTGACAAGATCTGAATAGGGTCTTTAAACTTTGGGAGTAGGGCTGTAAGAACGGTGTCTGTTTTAGTAGGCTCGGATTCAATCGTAATTTTCAGTAACCGCAATCCGTTTGATTTGACAAGACTGCTTAATGTAGGGGTTGTAGGCCGTGATGTTGATAAACTTTGTAGCTGGACAAGAGCCAAATCCACCATTTCAGACATTGAAATGTGTGTTGGCTGGCCCATTTCTAAATCCTGTAGAACTTGTTCGAGCTCTGCAATCTTACCAATATGACGCGATTGAGTGGTGTTGTCCTGAGTCGGCATGTTCGTCAAAGATAGGCGTGCCGGAACAGAAGAATCAGGCCGTAGAAGCTCATGAAAAGATGCCGAGCCAACCCTCGAGTCTAGAGAGCGTAGTGTAGTTCTATGCAGAGACACCTTCACCCTCGTATCCACATCCTTCTCGATTTTGCGCAAGTCCTCTTCCCTGGAACTCAGCGGAAGAGTTGGTATTGCGGAAGCTGCTAAAGATTTGAACGACACATCCAACTGCCTGATATCAGCCAATGGGAGAATAAGCCTGGCTGTATCTAATCCGAAGTTGGTTTTCTGTCCCTCTTGGGCAGTCTTCTGTTCCGTGCCGGGAGCCGCGATCCCACTGGTAGTTTCACGATGATCGGATGAAAATCTGCTGGCATGGATATCTCCACCGCTCAGCAGAGTATTGGAAGAGTTGCTCCGGCGTCGTCTCCGATAGGAATTCTTGGGGCGCGAAGCAGACGGCAGCGATAAAACCTCATCCCCGAGATCCGCCAGCCTATCCTCCCAGCTTTCGCTCAGCGCGACGGCGCCCCGGCTGCTTTTGACGGTATGCAGCTTGCGCGCATTATCAATGGCGGCGCGAGCAATCTTGAGTCGGCGGCGACGCTCTTCGGCGAGGAAGACGACGGAACATGAAGTGGTCAAGAGGACGCCGCGAAGGGCATTGAGCGCCGCTTTAGAAGGAACGGGAGGGGTGGAGGCCATGTCGACGGCCCATAGCTGCAGCTGAGCTTCTGGGATTCGGCGGATTGAGCGATTCTAGGCGCATCCAAGGTGGTGAAGTGCGGTTTGATCTTGTCCGGAGCTATCGTAAGATTTCTGGACATGGCATGATGGAGCAAATATTTCGGCTATACCTCGTAGTGGGAGAATTTCAATGGTAGCTGCGGGGGTACGTACCTCACCCCGCCAAAGTGTGGTGCAGCAGCACATCGGTACGTACCTCCGTTACCCGGAAAAGGCCATGGGTTGGATTGAGATATGAAGAAGCTTGCCAAAGCATACCTAGTAGTGATGACAAAAAGATTTCGTGTGGCCTAGGATTGAACTTGTCTTGATGAATTCTTCTTTTGGTTCAAGGATGCCAACAAAAGCCGATTGTTGGAGTATGAAGCTACCTGCCATACGCACAGCGATAGTACCAAACCACATGAATTCACTTACACACCCACACAATAAAAAGAAGACATAGATTGAACGAGTGCTGTACCATCCGCAGTCCTACTAGACAGCTTACGAGAATCCTACCAGTATTTCAACATGGCGGAGACGGAGGCACGTGGTTAATGTTGGAATGTGAACTGGGCCCTCCCTACCTTAAAATGATTGATGCATAGTACCTAGTAGGTATAGAGCCATAGGTCAACTGTCTTCTATTCTTAGAATTCGATTACACCCAGCTGTGAAAGTCTATGGAATGATTCTCCCAAGCCATGTTCTAAATCCGAACTTATGAAGCCAATGATATTTCGAAGGATGTGATAGTGTTACATGAGATTTGCAAAATGTACTGCAAAGCTAAATGTTCTAGAACACTTCGTATTCTCAGACATTTCAGATCCTAGTCGTTACAACCAATCATGTAACAAAGAGTATAGGAATGTTATTTTCGGAATACTGTTAAGATTCCCTTGCGCCTATCTTGAAGTACTCCAGCTTGGTGATGCATATACGTACAATATTGTAGAACTTGAATGTATAAATAGAGCAATGGCTTCTCTTGTAATTTAGCCAAATAAAGTATCCCAGGAAGTTCTTCACTTTTACGAATAAAGCCTATCAAGCACTGATACTTACAATCCATCAATCCCTTTCCAAAATGGAGTTTTCCAGGCTTGCTATGATCGTGTCCTTTCTTGCTGGAGCAGTGTTAGCCACCCCAGTAGGTCTTCCAGCAGGTCCTCCGGTGATCATTAGAGTATTCCCTTCGGTCCGTGTCTGCAAAGACGTGAACTTTGGCCCGCCTTGTAATACTGTGCTATCTAATTACAACGAATGTGGTAAGTTTCTCTTTAATGCTCACGGAGCCACTAGCTTAAATCACCAAATGATAAGATCGTTGGCTAATCTATCTCAAAGTCAACGTTCCGGATGGCTACAACGATAAGATATCCTCCCTACAACCAAATAAAGAGGCCGGAAACTGCCGCTTCTTTCAGTAAGTTGCAGTTCATGGGTTCCCCTTACATTATTCCACAGTATAGAGCAATTACTAATAGATATAGACATATCAACTGTAATGGCCCATCATTTGACTCTCTATATCCTGGATTTGACGACCTTACCACTCAACTTCCCGAGTTCAATGATCAGATTAGTTCTTGGCAATGCTATGGTCGGCTGCCTGCTCTTAATGGCCCCGTTCCTATCAAATAAACCCAAGTGGGCATCAAACTATGTGCCATTCTCTGCACTCAGTCAAATAGCTTAGCTATAGTCAACCGTTGACCAGGAATTGATTACATGATAAAGTATTTTTGTAGTTACCACCGTGATAAAGTTACTCACTGAAATCTATCGATTAACGTAGTTGTTGGAAATATAGATCGTTCTGTTGAATTATACCGATGCCAACGATATATATAACTGATCCGTTACGCATAAAGCAGCTACAGCCCACTATAGAGCATGTATTCTGGAACAACATTTAACACTAAGCTTGGCCTATTGGATCCTTGGGTAAGGACTTGCCCATTTGAAGAATTTAGTGAGATATTCAAGGGCTAGTACAGTTTGCTAAGGCTATTCTTCGAAGACGCGCTGGCAGCAGTAGAGGTGCTGGCCAAATTAGGAATGTTGACAAGATTTGCACTGTCACACTCAAGAAATAGCAGGCATGAAGACAATGAAGCGAGAGATCTCTATCCAAAGTCCGGCTTCGAGAACTGTTATATGGAAACGTTGCAATGGGTGGGGATGGACAAGGATCAACTTGAGGTTGGCAAACCTGTTCGAGACGATGGATCTGGAATAGCAAAAGGACATCAAAGGTATCCTATTTGAGCTTCTGCATCTGCTTTTCGGTATCACAAATATATATAGAGGAGAAGAGTCTCGATGTGATTCGATCTGCGACGCCGACATCACGGTATGTCCCGGAGTCGGCCTTCGCGTTCCAAGCGCTGATGAATACACCACTCGACTTGAGAATCGGATCTTCTAGAGTGACAATGGCAAGCCAACTCTGTAAACTGTCGACGGGAAGAGTACTGTGGAGAAACTTGTGGCTAGATTGCGAAGCTGGTTGAAGCTAATCACAGAGTAGATAGCCTGTAGTTCTGGCTTAATGAGACGCCGAGGTCTAGCTTCACAAAGCCAGTCCTTGAGCTGGATGAGATCCTGGGAGCATCTCAAAACGCAACGTCTGGAAGGCCGACTAAAGTTGATGCTGGCAGCGAGGTTCTCTGGTGAGACGTCAGTTTTTAAGCTGGTAGCCTCAACAAATGCATAGTAGGACATATGGCGGCAAGTGTGTATAATGGAATATCCAAAAACTCCTCATACAGCTTTACCAAAATGAAGTTATTTAATAGCGAGCAAGTCGGGATAATGGTGGTCCTATGGTCAACATTTATCGACATCCGCAACGACGATCGTGTCTAGACAAAAGAGGCGGCTTGAATATTATCCGAGTGACATCCAAACTAGAGACAGAGGCGCATTTGCCCATAATTTTTGACCTATTGCTTGTAAAACTATAGCTTTTCCGCCGGTTGAGTTGCCAGGCGCATAGCTTTTCCGTTGGACGGAATTCTTGTTGATTCGTCGCTTCAATTGCTTTGTGTGTGTGTGGACGGCTCGACAGTCAGTTAGCATGCAACATTATTCGTTTTGAACCAGTTTCGATGTTGATAGGCTGAAATGAGTCTTTGTGTTGCGATTTTGTAGCCACTTGGGTCCCCAAATAGACGCAAGCCTCTTTCTATTTTCCGGATATAGTCTGTCAGAGAGTGGTGATGTACGTCTGTCTCTAGGAACAGTGGCGGGCAATGTTAACTCTTTAGGCCCTGCTGCACGTCGCACTTCGGTGTTAAAATCGTAGCACGGATAGTACATGTATGTAGTCTCGGTTTAGGGTTGCAGTAGTCCATGTAGGTAATGACATATAATTATACCAAGTCCGAGGTCACTTACACGGGATGCAGGTCATCCAGGTATTAGGCAGATTTAGATCCATGATCAGTCGATACATACGCCACGATTTGTTCAGCAGCGGAGTTTCCCCTCTCAAGCCTTTGACACATCACATCACCGTGCATTTCAGGGGCCTGGACAACTCGCCGTTGTGTTTTGCTTTTATGGATTGTTGAGACAGCATGAGCTTCTGCCACCAACAACCCCGCTTCACAAGTCCGAAAATATCACCAAGTCCCGGTGTTTGGCGGCCCGAGGTGCTCCATCCGGATGCGCTTTGCGAAACGTCGCATTTCTAATTCGGAGTTTAGCATGGAGCTGAAATGCAACCTACCGCATGGAATTAAGAGATTGACCGAGGGCTGTGCGGACCTGAACTTTGGAGGAATGGGCACCTTTGTTTCGGTTGTTTTGGTACAGGGCACAGTTGTTGTACATGCAATAAACGCCTGCTTGTAATTGGTTTGTCTGCTGCATGCAAGATGCTCATGTACTTGCTGTTGTTATGTCTGGGGATTGGCACCCGCAACAACTGCCCGCTTGGATCGCCTCAACTCATTGCAACTCTGGAGTGCGATTGCCCATATTGCGTGGCTCAAGTCCGCCACGCGATGAGCCAATTTTTGGCCAGAGCACCGTCTTGGGCGGACTTGGCGAGCAGCAGCTGTTGCATCCTGCGTTTGCGTTTTGCAGCTATAAAGCGCCGCAACTCCTCGCCATCAGCTCAACTTGAACCCATCAATCTCCTCAACTGACCTTCTCCTCTGACAGTGAAGCACATTCCCGCAACCTGATCCTATCACGTTGCTAGGAGATAAAAGCTTAAAAAGAAAAGGAAAGATACCTACACACCCTTGGAAGTAACTAAAAGGAACCACATCACCGACTCGTCAACATGAGCTACTTCCCTGGTCCTCCTCCTCCCGTGAGCCCGCTCAACCGCTACCGGTTGCTGTCACCAAATGCCTCCGTGAGAGTCAGCCCGCTGTGCTTGGGCTCCATGAACTTTGGTTCAAATTGGTGAGTAAATGGCTTTTATGTTAAACGCGGGAAAATATAATCGTTGCTGACCTTGCTTTATAGGAAGGACTTCATGGGAGACTGCGACAAGGCAGCCTCGGAAGCCATCTTGGACTTTTTCTACGAACAGGGTGGCAATTTCATTGACACTTCAAACAACTACCAGTTCGAGGAGTCCGAGGCCATCATTGGTGACTGGATGAAGAAGAGGGGAAACCGCCATGAGATGAGTATGTCTCACCAAAGACCAAGCTACTCATCATCCAACATCAACTTACTAAATATTTTGTCTAGTCATTGCAACAAAGTACACTACCTGCTACAAATTGGGACCCGTTCGTCCTCATATCGCCGCCAACTTCACCGGAAACGGAACAAAGAGTCTAAACGTATCTGTTGAGGCCAGTCTGAAGAAGCTGCAGACCGATTACATCGATCTGGTGAGGCAATCTACGCCATATTATTAGTTTCTGGATCATGATACTAATCCATCCTAGCTTTACGTGCACTGGTGGGATTTCGGTACTTCAATTCCGGAGGTGATGCAGTCATTGAACAACCTTGTTGTGTCTGGCAAGGTTCTGTATCTGGGCATCAGTGACGCTCCTGCCTGGGTGGTGAGGTAAGTCTGCACAGAGTTCGTCTTTTTAATCTAGTCTTCTGACGTTTTGATTACAGCAAGGCAAACGAATATGCACGAAACCACGGGCTGCGTCAATTCTCCGTCTACCAAGGCCTCTGGTCCGCAGCCAACCGTGACTTCGAGCGCGACATCATCCCCATGTGCAAGGACGAGGGCATGGCTCTCGCCCCCTGGGGATCCCTCGGCTCAGGCAAGTTCAAGACGGAAGAGCAGCGCAAGGCCGAAGTCGGACGCAAAGTACAGGCTACCGAAACCGACATTCAGGTCAGCAAGGTGCTTGAAAAGATTGCCGCACGTAAGAACACGGTTCTCACGAGCGTCGCTCTGGCATATGTGACTCAAAAGACCCCTTACGTCTTCCCCATTGTTGGCGGAAGGACGATTGAGCACCTCAAGCACAACATTGAGGCCCTCACTCTGCAGTTGACTGAAGAGGACATTGAAGAGATTGAGAGCGCTTACCCCTTTGATTTCGGATTCCCGCACAACATGATGTGGGGTGGTAAAGCACCAGGCCCATCCCAGCAGAAGATTTGGCTCCTTGAGTCTGCTGCTCACTATGAATATGTCTCGGAACCCAAGGTAGGTTTTGCCCCTATTCAATATTATCCAGCAATGATGTTTGAGATCTAACGAAGTGTTTGTTTCTACAGGCTATTGCACCGACAAAAATAGGAGAGTAGAGCGTCCGCTTTAGGTCGTCGTGCTGGAGATGGTTGCCAGGACGCCAAAATACTCAGCAAATCCATCATGAGCATGGTATGCATAGTGGCGCCGGCCCTGGCTGGTGAATGGGAGGAAAAGGCGAAATATTTTGAGAGCCGGTGATGCCAACGTCGTTGATCATCATTACAGTACTTGGGTAACGAGAAACGAGGGGTTAAGGATACGCAACCTTGAACTGGGTATGACTTGCTTGGAGCATTTAGCTAGTTGTATTAGGATATTAAACAGCAATACATCGCTTCAGCTTTAAGAATCAATGTGTGACATGGGCACGACGGTGAGAGAGATGACCCGAGTTGAGATTGATAACCATCTCATTATATTAATGGGTATCTACATTACCTATTTTGGTTTGTGCATATCAACTGTCACATGGCTATCATCAAATTCAAATATCCTATATCCCACCCGAACGCCGACTCGGACTGGCCTTTGGTTCGCGAATCATGGTCGTTTATTTGGCGCCTTTGCCCTTTGCCTCGTTATCGCCTAGCTCTCTGATGAAAATTGACGTCTGTCCAGCCCCGCTGTAGTCGTTCTGCCCAGTCTCAAATCCAGGACACACTCCGACAGCCAGATACTTTCCATCATTCGAGAATGCCAGGGCGGCAACGTTGTTGGGGAACTTCTGATATTGTTTTAACCTCCTCTTGGCCTCTGCATCCCACAAGGCCACTGTGCCGTCACCGCCTCCCGACGCAAATGTTCCGTGGACAGAGTGGAACGCAAGAGCATTGACGGGGTAAACGATATCTCCATCGCCGTCGGGGGCTGCTTGTCTGTGGCACTTGAACGCATATTTCCTGGCCTGCGACTCGGCGGTATCCTCGAACCACTCGACCGCAACACGACCCTCAATGCTGCTGGTGGCGTATCCGGCATCGTTGGGCATGCAAGACACCGCGCGAGTGAGGTATCTGAGAGATGACTCGCGCTGTTGCCAGGGTTTAAGCTCGGTGCTGCCGGTACGGAAGAGCTCGACGATGGAGTTATTGTCGTAGATGTTGATGATGCGGCCCGTCATGGCAACGACAACCTTGCTGGGGCTACCAGCCAGAGCTTGAGGTTTGCCCGGAAGGGTAATGGTAATGGGGTTGCTGGAAGGGTCGTTGAGGTTGTGCAGGTTGAGAGTGCTGTCCCAAGACGCAGAGATGAGGATACCGTGAGATCTGCTGTATACAACGCGGCGGACGGGGGCGGTGTGCTTGCTCAGGGGGGTTAATTCTCCGGTCTCGAGATTGAGGCTGTCATTCTATGGTCAGCAGGTAGCTCAGCTGTCGCCAACTCGTGATCGGAGGTAGCAAATACCGGTTGACCGTCCAATCCATGCCCGCGGTGAAGGCTTCATTGTCGTCAGCGCCGAAGCAGACGTCTAGAACTGGAGCGCGGTGCTCGTATGTGTTGACGAGGCTCGAGGCCTCTGGACCGTTTGTAATGTCATAGTAATACACCTTATTATCCCAGGATGAGACGAGGAGCTTCGTTCCTGAGTCGGGCGCGAATGCGATGGACGATACCGCGTCGCCGGGGGGCGGTGAGAGCTCGTATTGCGTTGCTAGCCCTTTGTCAGTTATCCATTGAAAAACATCAAGTCGCAATTGCCAGATGCCGCCGCGAACGTACCTGGAGCCATTGCCAATGCCCACGCTCTGCTATGACGATTCAGCAACTCCTTCCAGGATGGAAGCTTTGGATGTTTACTTTGGAGGTCACGTGCAGATAAGCCAGAAGCATGGCTGTGGCGTGGGCATTGGCGTTATCGACCGAAGCATGAGCCACAACCACCCCGCCACGAAGGTTTGGCTCAAGCGCAAAATACTATCAAAATTGTGACTCCTCATCCCACTTCGAATCTTTTAGAATCGCAGCGTATACAGAAGCTCTGTCCTTCCTACGAGTCGACATCGAACGAGCCTCGTTGCCCGTAAAGTCTGTCCGACCGTCGTTTTCGAGTAATTCAGCAATTTCCAAGCGATCACATCGACACTCGCGTGAGCAGCTACGAGAGAAAGTTTCGGGTCCTATAAAAAACCAGCCCCCACTTCCTATCTTCCTCCTTCTCGCCAACCGACTCTCATTTCCCCAGATTATCGTCGAACAACACCGCCAAGATGTCTTTAACAAACTGTCGGTTTTACGAGGAGAAGTATCCGGAGATTGACAGCTTTGTGATGGTCAATGTCAAGCAGGTGGGTTTTTACTCCGGATCCGAGAGAGAGCGACAGAAGGAAATGCACGGAAAATCTGACAAAAAATTGAAATAATGGGTAGATTGCAGAGATGGGTGCCTACGTCAAGCTGCTGGAGTACGACAACATCGACGGCATGATTCTGCTTTCTGAGCTGTCCCGAAGACGTATTCGAAGTATCCAGAAGCTGATCCGAGTCGGACGCAACGAAGTTGTGGTGGTCCTCCGTGTGGACAAGGAGAAGGGTGGGTGATCATCGGTTCCTAAGTTATGTCATGGAAAAGCGAGGCTCATATTAAATCGCAGGATACATCGATCTGTCAAAACGACGTGTTTCGCCCGAGGATATCGTCAAGTGTGAAGAGCGCTACAACAAGAGCAAGATGGTCCACTCCATCATGCGACACGTTGCCGAAAAGACCCAAACTCCCATCGAGTCCCTATACGAGAGCATAGCCTGGCCTCTGAACCGCAAATATGGCCATGCTATTGACGCTTTCAAGCTGTCCATCACGTACGTGGCCAGTGTCAAGCATTCTACATTTTTATATGAGTGGCAGACTAACGTGGATGTAGCAACCCCGAGGTGTGGGAGGAGATTCAGTTCCCCAACCAGGTTGTCGACGACGAGCTGAAGCTGTACATCAGCAAGCGACTTACTCCTCAGCCCACCAAGGTCCGTGCCGACGTCGAAGTTACCTGCTTCGGTTATGAGGGTATCGACGCTGTCAAGGCTGCTCTGCGAACCGCCGAGGCCAAGAACACAGAGTCCATGCAGGTCAAGGTCCGACTTGTTTCGCCGCCACTTTATGTGCTTACCAGCACATGTCTCGACAAGTCACTGGGTATCACCCGTCTGGAGGAGGCCATTGTTGATATCCGAACGAGCATCGAGGCAGCTGGTGGCAACCTGACCGTCAAGATGGAGCCCAAGGCCGTTACCGAGAGCGACGATGCCGAGCTGCAGGCACTCATGGAGAAGAGAGAGCGCGAGAACGCCGAAGTCAGCGGTGACGAGAGTGTCAGCGACAGCGACGACAACATTCCCGAGACAATCTAAGCTGTCTCACAGCTCTATGCCAACAGCGATGAAACTGCGGTTCTTACACTTGGGACCGGGGGAAAGCGGATACCATCTTTTACAAACAAAAAAGAGGAAGGAAAAAAGCCGTCAGCGCTCGTACTAAAATGAGAGGCATGAGCCTAGAATTTGGTTTAGGAAGCTTTTGTGGCGGGTAATGGCGTCGTTTTGCGTGATGGACGGTGGAAAAGCCGTGGATTTCGGCATATTTGTAAGGGGTAGATTTTGGCAGAGACTCTACGACGTCTGATTTACGTGGAGAATCTAAGTATATGAAGAAAAAAAAAAAAAGCCATAAAAACAATCAACAATGTTAAATTGCGCCATGTATTGTGCTCGTAGACGTGACGATTGAGGGCAGGTAGTTTTGATTCCGCATACATGTCAACCTGGTGTTTCAATGCACTTGTGAAGAGGTCACTGAGGCTCTACCTCTACTGTGGGATGAGCTAACCCCACCACTAAGCAACTTTTTTCCAAATCAGTACTGGCAAAGGGCTTAAGCTATTTCTAAGATTGTCAACGCTTTATGGACTGATCGACTGAGCTACTCACTGCTCACTGCTCTGCGACGACATTTATATAAGCTGTATTAGTCCTGAGATTTCTTTTTCACTGCAGTATTCCTAGGGAGCACCTCCATGGCACTCAATTCGCTATGGGCACGAATAAGAGGTAGCGCAGCCGGAGGCACTCCAAGCTTCTCTCGAACCACGGCGCTGAATCTCATCGGCTTTGCGACGTGGATACCAGTGATTGCGTGGTTCAACCTGCACGTGGCCGAGCTGACGGTTGTGGACGGGTCATCAATGTATCCGTTTATGAATGCGGATAGGGATTCGTCGCTGCGGAGGGACGTGGTGTTGAACTACAAGTGGTCACCGCAGGAGGATTTGCAGAGAGGGATGATAGTGACGCTGAGGTGAGTTTGTTGTGATCTGTTTCAGTGTGAAGATGAATTACGGTCGCTCTGGTATATGATATTTACGAGACTGGGATATACTGATGCAATCGTCTCATCATAGGAGCCCATTTCATCCCGAGGTAATTGCCGTCAAGAGGGTTGTCGCCCTAGAAGGCGATGTCATCAAGACAAAGAAGCCATATCCCGTTCCAACAGTCAGGATACCGCAGGGACACGTGTGGGTGGAAGGAGATGGTCCGCCAGGCTCAAGTCTGGACAGCAACACGTATGGACCAATTTCAAAAAGATTATTGACGGGGAGAGTGACGCATATCGTGTATCCGTTGAAGAAATTTGGGCCTGTCCAGTGGTGGGAGCATGACAGGCCTTTGGTGGAATGATCAAGTGTGGGATACCATGGATGAGATTCAATGTTACGGGAGTGTGTACATGTATGATAGTAATAGGGGCTGCTACAAGATGCATTTGGGCGGCGTCTTTGGCAGATGAATGTATCATTAGTTAGAAACAAAATACCACTGTATCAATTATAGCATTGGATTGAGTATTGCAGTATGGGACTCAACGTCATGGCTCGTTGACCGAAGCAAAACCCCGTCAATTCACCGGTCACGCCACAGCGGATCAGCACGTGTGGCGCAGTCTAGCAACCAAAAACCGCCTATCAGGAGGCTCAGGGCAAAAAGTTCTCAGCGAGCGTTCGGGAGCCCACGCGACCGCCCAAGGCATCGAGACCCTTGGAAAAAGAGGCTTTGCCGTTGAATTCGACCTTTTCACCATAGCATTTTTGCTCTCCCGCTTGTTTCATTTCGGCCGTCGAACAAGGGGAGACAAGTTTTGTTCCGAGTTGCGACTTTGCGCTGCCGTGCGCCGGGCTGTTGTTTTTTTTTTCTCCCGTGGACCCTTTTTTTTACTCTTCTTCTTCTTTCGTCATTTCTTTCTTCCTCTTTCGCATACTAGACAAAGCCGAGAGTTCTCTCAATTGGGCGCTCTTTCTCCTCTTTCTCAAATGTCCGAAGGCCTCTCCAGCTCAGAGCAATTCCCCCTCGCCGGCTTCAATTCTGCGACCGCAAAGCCCGACGGCGCGACAACCAGCGATTCCACTGCGGCGGCAGGCCGTGACACTGCCCTGGAGCCTCGTCATGCCGGCCACTTCTCGATAGCCTCGTCCGACAGCCAATCTGTTCACGCCATGCAGGGCCAAGATGTCGAGGCTGAGGGTCGGCCGCCATATATTCACGTTGGTCTTCCCTTCTTTGTTCCTTTGCTATTCGAAGCTATGACGTTGTGGTTTATTTTGGGGCTCTTGCAATGAGGGGTCCCTTTTTTCATGTGTTTCCAGGGCTAATGGTTGCATCTTGTAAGGCAATGATTGCGGGAGGCCTTGGAGGCTCAACGGGTGATATGCTGATGCATTCACTGGATACCGTCAAGACGCGACAGCAGGGAGATCCTCATTTCCCTCCGAAATACTCTTCCTTGGGACGATCCTACCACACCATCTGGCGGCAGGAGGGCATTGCGAGGGGCTTGTACGGAGGCTGGCTCCCAGCGTTGAGCGGTTCATTCCCCGGCACGCTCATGTTCTTTGGCACATACGAATGGAGCAAGCGGTTCTTGATAGATCACGGCCTTAACCACCATCTCGCTTATCTCTCAGCGGGTGAGTCACAATTGGAACAAACCTGCGATTCCTCGCTGTTGACACTAAGCTAACCTCCCCCCTTTCTAGGATTCCTGGGAGACCTGGCGGCTTCCATTGTCTACGTGCCATCCGAAGTCCTCAAAACCCGACTGCAACTCCAGGGGCGCTACAACAACCCCCATTTCGTCTCAGGCTACAACTACCGCGGCACCCTCGACGCCGCACGCACAATCATCCGAACAGAGGGCACCTCTGCGCTCTTCCACGGCTACAAGGCCACCCTATATCGAGACCTGCCGTTTTCCGCGCTCCAGTTCATGTTCTGGGAGCAGTTCCAGGCTTGGTCAAGAGTGTACAAGCAGAGCCGCGACATCGGCGTGCCCCTGGAGCTCTTGACCGGCGCCGCTGCGGGCGGTCTCGCCGGCGTCATCACATGTCCCCTCGACGTCGTCAAGACTCGCCTGCAGACGCAGGTCAACATCCCCTCCGAGCCCGAACATTCGCACCGGCCTAAGGACCCCAACCCGCAGAAGCGACTGATATCCACGTCGTCACCAAGCACGCATAGACCCAAACCCGGTGCCATCGCGCTCAAGACATCATCCGTCTTTACTGGACTGAGGGTCATCTACCATACCGAGGGTATGAGCGGCTGGTTCCGCGGCGTTGGGCCCCGTGGCGTGTGGACTTTTATCCAGAGCGGCTGTATGCTCTTCTTGTACCAGCGGCTGCTTCACAAGCTGGAGGTTTGGATGCCTCTGGAAAATCCTGAGAATGAAGCAGCACTTTAAAAAAGAAGAGATACTCTTGCTTGCTCATTTTCTTTCTTCGTTTGCTATTTTTTAATTTCTTATTTGTACATTGACAGTGAGCATTATGATGCGAAGACATACACTCAGCATTGCGGAGAGGAGAAGCGAATATCGAGAGGCGATATTACCATGTATAAATTTACTAGATGGAAGGGGGGAAGGGGATGAGGGAAAGATGAAGAAGAAGACTCAAGTTTTACAAAAATGAACGGGGGAGGACTGATTGGAAGGATTTGGAGCGGACCCGGTCACTTTGTGTGAGGCGTTTTAAGGGGGTTTAGAACTGGGATGATAAGATGGCATTCTTTGATATATGATATAGATAGAGGGCATGGGAAGGACATACGTGCCAAATCTCCAACATGTGTTATTACTACCTACCATTCACTCGCCATTCAGTTTGTATTTTGCTTTGTTAAATATCACTGTATTCTAAGTCGGTGTATTAGAAAGGGGGGCTTTATTTATACATACCACTATCTAACACAGGGAAACGACATCAACCAAAGGTATCTCATCTCAGACCGGACCAGACCAAAAAAAAACAGCAGCAAGATGCAAACAGACGTCGTATCAAAAAACATAGATACCACGAACAGAAATCCCCAGGCAATAACAGCAACAGTATTCTCAACAACCTTCTCTTCTCATACCTCTACCCCTTTTAAAAAAGAAAATCAGAAAATCAAGCATCCGGATCACTCTCCTCAACAACCCCCTCCTCCTCAAAATCCCCCATCCTCTTCATCATGTCGTCCCTCGCAAGACACGTCGCAATCGCCACCGTCAAGGCATTCCACACGCCCAGGCTGCGATTCTGGAAGTCCATATCTACGTGAAAGTTGATAATCATGTCGGCGTCTTCTTTTGAAGCGTCGGCGGTGAGTAAAATGACAGAAGTGGCAACTATAAAGAAGCCGAACACGACGGGCGGCGGACGAATGTATGATGTTGGAGGGGCTGGTGAGTGGAGCGTTGTTGTTGAAGCCATGGGGATGTCTGCCATTGTGATGTCGTCGTCTGAACCGTCAAACAGTTCCCGTTTGATTGCGATTTCGTTTGCTTCCTCTTCTTTCTCTCGCTTAACGTATACTCTACTCTTTGCGTGGTTGTTGGGCTCATCATCCCCGCTGTTAATGACGGATGTTTCTCCATGAGATTCTGGCTTGATGACGGGCCGCCGTAGTAGTGAGAACAGTCTATTCATCACCCGCGCCCCAAACGTCCTCCAAGATCTGCTTCTGCTGCCACCGGGCTGCTGCTCGACGGATGCCTCTGCTTCAGTCTTGATTTGCGTCTCGACCTCCTTGTCTACATCCATGTCAGTTGAATAAGTTCCCTGCTCTGGCTTGATGGCGAGCAGCTCTCGGTGTGCTTGTGCTAGCTCCCTCATGCGTGTCTCGATAAAGGCCGCCAACGTAGACCCTTCGCCGTTCCTATCGACGACCTCGACTGTGGTGTTTGGGATGTACTTTAGATGGCTGTAGCCTCCGTCCTCAGCAGCCCAGCTGAGGTAGTTAGTTAAGGCTTTCTTAATCATTTGGGGCACCTTTCGTCGAAGACCCGACTGGCAGTTCGTGCGGACGTTGGCAGTGAGGTCGATGAGTCGTGTCAGCGCCGAAGTTGCTACCTTCTGTATCAGTTTGAAAGCTCCGTCTAAGCAAATAAAGAAAGGGAAAGGAAGGGAAACAGAGATCTCGTACCTCGAAATCCGCCCAGTCCACTCGTGTGCGCATACACAATCGGCTTCACCCCCTCTCTCCAACAGAACAAATCCCCCGAAACAGGAACACCTCGAAAGTCAACCTCCCAGTGCAGCGGCAAGAGCGGAATCTCCTGTCGCAGGAACAGAATCTCAAACAGCCGCTCCTCCAGCCTATTCCACCGCTGGCTGCCCAGATATCGCCTCTTCTCCTCCTCCATGCTGTCCAAGATCGTACTGTATACGAGCCGCTCGCCGTCGTCTTCGTCTCCCCATAGCCTCATCAGTGGCTGGTTGACTTTCCGGGGCGACTTTGAACAGCGGTAGGGCGAGCTTCGGGGGGTGGGGGTGCGTTTCTTGGGTGACGTTTTGTGATATCGACGGGCTTTTTTGCGTCGAAGGGGGGTGCTGCTACGGCTCTTTTGAGGCAAGGCCGAGATGGTTTGTGTTTTCGTTTCCATGGTTAGATATTCGGATATATGTTAGAGTCAGATAGTGCTGGAGATTGTGCATGCTGCTCGAGGACGGTCTTGACGAATGAGTTCGACGTCCCTTTTCTATGGGTGGACGAAGTGCGTTTGTGGATGACTTGGGGAGAGATTCGGTAACTTGGCTGGATCAATGCGATTATACGGTGCCTCGAGCACTATGTATGTGCTATGGGAAGCAGTTTGGCGGTGCTGGGCAGCTGCGTACCTAAATGCAGTGAGGATGCCAGCAGTCAATTGCAGCTGTAGGGGGCCGAGCCCTCCAAACAGGCGGAATATATGTTCCATGAGACTAGAAGCATTTGAACAGCTTGCACAGGAGATGAAGCAATCAATTACCTGTTCAACTTGAAACATTGCTTTGATGTTGTTCTATTCTTGGTTTCATAGTATAAAGAGTAAGTCGATTTGGACAAAAGGGGGTCGCGCATCTCTCTTTGACATCCATTCTGTAACAACACTCGACAAAGCCTATTCTGAAAGAAGTGCAGAGGCCACAAACAGCATTGCGACTGTCACTGTTCAATTTGCCACTTTTCATTCGTTGAAGTTGACAGCTCTAAAAATGGCTTGCGGGAGGATAGCAACATGCAGCTGGGGTCGAGTGGCCATGGAATAGCGTTTGCAGGAAATGGGATTCTTGTTCTGCAGGGACCAGGGCTCAATTTATCTATCGTCAGGATTGCATCGCATTACTCAGTCAACCATTCTTCATCTATCAAGTGAATCCATAATCCATCTACAAGCTCACTCAGTCTTTCTTCTCCATGTACGGCAAACACGCCTCATAAATATCCTTGTAGCCAGGACACTCCACACTCCTCTGGAACACTCCCTCGTCAATCACTTTCACAGATTGAAGAGATCCCGCAATGAAAAAATCGCTATAACTCGGACGAGCACCGAGTATAAACGGCCCAAGCGCCCTGTTTTTCCGCATCAACTCTCCAACAGCACGCCGATCAGCATCGACCGCCTGCCAGCGCTCCTCTTCGCCCGCGAGCAATTCTTCCAGCGTTTTCCCAAACCGACCCTCGCGAGTGCGTCGGAAGTACTCTTGCGCTCGTGGTGACAAGATGTGAACCTCGCGCGGCATCGCCGACCTGTAAAAGGTTGGGGCAACCAAGGAGCGTACCTTGGCCTCGATTTCGGTGCCCAGTTCCGAAGTGAGGGGCACCGAAGGTTCTGGGTATGTCGACTCTAGGAATTCCGAAATAGGTTTCGAGTCCATGATGTATTTGTTGGTCGGCAAATGGTGGATGGTGGGCACCGTGTAGTTGAAGTTCCCAGAGGCAGGGTCATGGGGAGGCAAGCCGCTGTGTTCCATGTTAACTAGAGTGAATGGGTTGCATATTTGTATGTCGAGAGTGTAGTAAAGAGCCGAGATGTGATTGGGGGAGAGGAATGGTATAGGTCATCATTGAAAGAGAGACGAATGAGACTCACAGTCCCTTGAGCGTAGGCTCGATATCTGGCATCTCGAGGAAGACTGTCTTGTAGGGAATTTGCTTATAATTGAGCAAGAGCCTAATGCGCCAGACGACAGGAGAAAAGCAGACGTCCTTAGTGCAAGCTAGGTCATATAAGATGATCTGGGGTTCGGAATTTGCCATGTTGATCGTGATATAGGGAAGACGCAAATTGAAGAGACAAGGTATGAATGTGGAATCTGGCTCCTGGCTGGTGGTTGTAGACAGAGAGAGACCAAGATAAGCTACAGGCTACGGGCGGTAGATATAGAAAATTATTTCCATATAACTTGCGGTATTGTTTCACGCAGCAATCACAACAAATGTCTCAACACAAGTGAGAGGTTATTCGGTTATGTCACTTAGATCCTTCGTTGAACTTGGCGATCATGAACGGCTGCTATTGGTGAATATGGGGGGATATATTGAGCCAACTGGTAACATTTTATTGGCTCATTGGATAAACGGGTGAATAGCGACGACGATGAGTCTTGTTTATGAAACATCCAATTATCATCATGCATGCGCTTTGCATTGTTTAAGATGGCAATACACAGTTACAGTACATCAAATGGCTGGACGATGGCAGTACAGTGTTTAAAACACAGTAACTCATGGCGCGACACTGTGTCGGCCAATCCTGACCCCACATGGGCAAAACTTTGGATATCGAAATCGCAGACTGATCTGATATTGATATGCCTGTATAGCATCATTTCGACCAGATCCAATTCACGCTGCAGCCATGGCCGAGGCAGTGAAAGCGGCCGCGCGCCAATTGCCCGCCTTCAAGCTGGGCCAGAAGCAAGTTTTCTTGTACGCCAACTCTCTCTACAGCCCGTAAAACTCCCCTTGCGCAATAACTCACCACCAGTACCCCAGGCCAAACCATGTCATCACGATGCTCCGAAAAGAACACCTCCCCCCCAACGAAGCCTGCTTCAAGGTTCCCCTGCGATTCACAAAGTTCGATCTACGAGACTACCTCTGGAACCTCTACAGCGTCGAAGTCACAGCCGTCCGGTCCTACGTCAAGCAGCAGCCGCTCACCCAGCGCAGCACCAGCTCGCGCTCCTGGTACCGCCCGCAGCCGCAGAAGATCATGACGGTCGAGCTGGCCAAGCCCTTCCAGTGGCCCGAGGTTCCCGCGGACCTGGAGCCCTGGAGCAACGAGCTGTGGAAGATGCGCGAGGACACGATTGAGAAGAGGAACGAGGAGCAGCTCGTGCGGCAGCGGTTCCAGATCCCGCTCAAGAGCCAGGAGCCGGTGCCTAAGGAGCGGGTGGAGCTGGGTAATTTGGCGAAGAAGATGCTGGCGGGAGAGGTCAAGTGGGAGAATAACGTTGTTTTGGATCCTAGGTGGGATCAGATCCTGGGCAAGGATAAGGCTGTGAAATCAGCAGAGAAGACAACGACAACTTCATGAAAAGGAATAAAATAAACAAAAAGAATAATGGAAAATGGAATACCAAAAAGAATCGGGAACATACAGGAAAAGAGGGGATGATGGCGACGGGCCAGTGTACGACTTGGATGCATAGAATGTGGCATGTATGTATGTATGTATGTATGTATGTACCTTATGTATATTACTCTTGAACTTGAACAAAATGACTATAAGGTCAATTCTTTCTGCTTTAAATAACATTGTATCAATGTCAAGACTTGATCCAATGCTCCGCCGCCTGGAACCGCAACACCTGATCCCCCCAACTCCACCACCCAGAAGTCAGATTCCGTGCAAACACTTCCAAAGCAGCGTAATCCCTCCCAAGAATATTCTCAAACAAGAACCGAAGGCTCGGTTTCCGCGAATGTACGTCTGGAACCGCCACAATGACCCGAGGTTTAAGCCCGGTCGGAGCTTTTACGCCAATGCGCTTTGCTATGAGAAGCGTCTCCCACGGCTTTCTCCAAGTGGATTCCATATCGAAGATTGGCTCGCCAGAGGATGTGATCTTGAGCCATGTCCATTGTGTTACCAGCTCCAGACCCCAAGATGCAAAGAGCCCTCTGGGAGAGGTGACGAGGTCGAAAACACTAGACTTGTTTGTGATCCAGATGGCTACTAGGCCGTCGGGAGCAAGATGTAAGGGGACAGGAATGCTGAGGAGAAGCTGCTGGATTTCCGTGAGGTTGTAGGCAGTGCTGTAACTACCTGTCTTTTTCCTGCGAACAGATCGATTGGGCCATGGAGGATCAAGGACAATGAGGTTGAACTGCGGTGCCGTGTCGACAAATGTCTGCCGCAAGTCTTGGATCGATCCGTGGAGGTATTCAGCTCCAATCGGAACCTTGATGCGAGAAGCCTCAGCCGATTCATCAGCGCCGACATCAACATGGTCGTCATCAATAGATACCCCCTTCTCCTCTGCAGAATGACAGACCCGGTCCAGAAAAAAAGGCCCCGAATACTGACCCCGAAGCTCATCCAATGCGCTCTGAGCAGCCGCCGCAGCCATCAGTTCAGCAATGCGAGCTCCCACAGACGGCGCATGGCCCGCCGATGCTCCATTGCGCGGCTCCGGTGTAGCAAAAGGCTCGAGCAGGGGAGTTCCGGAGACGATACGAGCCGCAGGCCGGTGGCCTGGAGGAACTTGGGCTTCTTCTAGGGAGCGAGGGATGTCGAGCAGGACAAAAGCAGGAGAGTCATTGTTGTTGCTGTGACTCGATTGGAAGAGGATTGACGATGGTGGCGAGGGTGATGACCTCAGAGCTGCTGCTTCATGTGTGCTGCCAGAGGCCATGTCGGCGCTTGAGATTATACAAACATTATGCTATCCGCAATGACAAGTGTATGTTGCATATCATAAATAGAAAGACAAAGCCATTGGAAAGGTCACTACATGAATAAATGGCAAGCAAACGAAGGCTTTCTATCAAGGTGATTGAAGATTTACTTACCAACGGGTTAGCGCTAGTACTGATAAAAGGGCCAATAGGATTACATCAATCACATTCGTTACAATCGTTCATACAATTGGCTAAAAATAGCAATAGATTCTTTCATTTTCATTTTCTTTATTATCTTACTTTTACTCGTCCTTCCACTCTTCTCTTCTACCCTTTGTTAGAAAAAGAAAGTGAAAGGAAAGAAAAAACCAAAACGCCGTCGCTCCAAAACGAACAAGGAAAAATGTATACGTGCTGAGTTTGTTGTACATTCTCTCCCAAACCACCGATAGCCCCGGCAGTGCCTCGCACCTTTGGGGCATCTTTGCCATCTTTGTTCATCCTTCCCAATCCCTTGATACCATTCGCTATTTCCCATCCTTTTTCAATCTTGCCCAAAGGACCGACACAGGTTTTTGGCTTATATCGACGTTGGGGCAGCGTCTTTCCTCCATCCCTTGCTCCGCATGTTCATCTCAATAGACTTCCAGATATACTCCACAACCTCCTTATCTCTGAATCGCGAGGCAACGTCGTCTTCACCTCGCCAGCGGTCCACACTGGTGCTCATAACACGATGGCCCCAGCCGCGGATATTATCCGGCGGCAGGTCGCCTCTCCATCCGACGAACACGCCCATGGTGTGCTTGAACAACTCGTTGGGATTGCTCCACTTGTAATTCTTGAACTGCCATGTCTGACCTGTGGTAAACACCGCAACGATGCGGTTCCAGTATTCGGGCTTGAACTGCTCCGACCCCTCGACAAGGATGAATCGCATAGGTCTGTTGGGATCGATGCCGGGAATGATGCGCTGGACGTGAAGCATCGAGGCGGTGGAGGCTCCAGCATCAGGAGGCACAAATTTGCCGTCCTCGAGGAAGGACCGGGCATTGGACATGCGCAGTAGAGACGAGGCGGATGGAGAAAGCAGAATAATGGGATCGGGGCGTCGGGAGGGGCCCTTTTGATTGATGGAGAGCGACTGTGTTGAGCCAATAGCGGAAGAGGACTGTGACTTCTTTTGAATAAAGGGGATGGCGAGTTTTCGGACGTGAGAAAAATCCTAAGAGCAGCGTCAGCCAAGTGTCCACCGGTACACGGCGTACAAGCAGCTCCAAGTAAAGCATCGATTCACTTACCGTGGGCTTGATGCCCCTCAGGACCGTGTTCCGGTCGCCCATCCGGCGCTCGCCATCGTACACGCTCGCCAGCCGCGGGTCAATCGTCCCCTTACCGGACCTCGCTTGCGCAGCCAAAGCCGCAGCACCAATCTTTGAGGACGGAGCCGCTCCAGCAGCCGCCGCGCTCGCATCACCGGCCAGGGGCTTGATGTACTCGCTTTCTTCACTAGCACCTTCCAGCCAAGTAATCAGATCTAGCCTCTCGATGAAGCCTAAATTCTGCACCTTGCCGCTCGACCCGTTGGCGGCGAGGTCATCGTTGAGTGTTGTTGCCGAGGCATTGTATTCCGGGATGGCAAGCTCACGGTTGAGCCAGGCAAAATAGATACTGCGCAGGTCGACAGGCTTGTCGCTCGAGATGAAGCGCGTGGGCGAGTCTATCGGCAAGGAGAGAGAGAGCCCTGTGAACTGCAGGTGCGTGGCCTTGGAGAGAGGGACTTCGGGCGCCGATGCATCGGCAGACGCGCTTGGGATGAAGGGCTGGCTGCTCGAGATGGACTGTCGAAGGACAAGGAGGGGATCGTGGTCAGTGGGCGCCATGGTGGACGCGAGAGGCGCGAGGGTGGGAAAAGGATCCGAGCTTTGTAAGAGAGGCGATCAACTGGGGGAGATGGAAGAGGGCGATGCTATCGATAATTGATTATGAGAGGTCAATTGATGCGCCGCGTAGCATTGAGAGAAGAGGCCCGCTGGTGATGAGGCTGTAGGGGGATGACGCCTTGTTGGGAGATGTAAGTTGGTGAAGAGAGGTTGTAACGCAGCAAGGCTGAGGGAGGCTAAAAAGCTGCAGCGCCGTGTCGGCCAATTAGATTGCAGCTTGACTCTCAGCCAGCACAGCTCAGACGGTGCCCATTGGAGGGACTTTTAAACCATGGTTTGAAAGTGAAAATCCAGTGAAATGATTCCTGAAATTTTCTTTATGTAATATTTGTTATATATATAGTGAGTATCGGTACTATCAACTATTTGCCAGTGCATTTCACATGGATGGAAATCAAGTCCAACCAGTTCAGTTTGAAACTTGAAGCGCCTGATTCAGCACCACTTCACACACACTCGGTTTAGTAAAATGAATCACAACCAATAAATCACCGGTACGGGCACGAGACGGCTGAATGCATTGAATGCATTGAATGCAACTCTATTGCATTCTACAAAAACGCTCTGAGCTGTTTTACACGTAACCAATCCCACCATGTCCCGCACTCTAAGCGGGCTCAACCTCAACTCCGGCCTTTCGAGGTACCCTTGGAGGCTCAATGATACAAAAAGAGAGCAACAAAAAAATAGACAAAGAACAGAAATCTTTACACGTAATGCTTTACAACCCAAAAGACAAAAAAATGGCCAACGCCAGTACAGCCGTGCCTTCGTTTTCCTCTTTCTTTATATACCAAAAACAAGCTTCATGCGTTCGTAGGTGTAGAAGCTCACCGCCGCCAAGGGTATCACCTTGACATATCCAATCGTGAGGCCGACGAAAAATCCCTTGAAGCCGCGCTCCCGGAGGATCATAGCCGCTGTCTCTCCGACTCGCAGCCTTCGGCCATCGCCAACAGCGCCGCCAACCTGCATGCGTCGTCGCACGACCTCTAGAGGGTAAGAGCTCGTCTGGGAAATCATGCCGGCTACGCCTCCGGCTGTAAGTTCGGCCCAGGATCGAAGCGGTGCTGCCTTGCCTTCTGGGTGGTTCTTCTTTTTCGGCAGAGTCGTGTATTCAGCGATGGAAGGGTGGCGCAGGAGGTCGGACATGGTGTCGTGAGTGAGGAAGGATACACCAGCATACGGCAGCATGCCGAGCATGGTGGGAGCAAATCCTCTATAGAAATTCACAAGGCCGACTCGTGGCGCAACGGATTCGACGGCGGAGGTGGCTGAGTCTACGGCTGCAGCAATTCCAGGTGTATTTGGCAGTTTTGGTGTTCGAGATTTTTCAACGGGGTGTTCATTGTAGATTTGGCGGCAAATCGATGTCAAGGATGACCGGCCATCTCTCCTGGTTTCAAAAGCGAGGCGGACTCGAACAACTTCTAGGGGGTATGTGAAAAAGACGGAGGTCACGCCGGCAAGACTGCCACTGATCAGCCGTCGGAAGGGCGTCTCGTGGTTCTTGTCGGGGATAATCATGTTGCGAATCTGCTCATAGGCAAGGAATTTAATGCCGGCATAGGGGAAAATTCTGAGGAGCGTGGCGGAGTGGCCCCTGAAGAGCCCTCTGCCGCCTTCTGAGAGGTATATGTCTTTCATCGCGGAAGCGACTCCAAACGAGGAGCCGGTGTATTTTGCGAACTGGGGATTGCTGGTCTGGAAGAGGATTTTGACGCGATCGAGAGGCGCCACTGTCGTTTTGGCCTGTCCGTGAAGCGGTTAGCAAGAATCAATTCCTGCATATCTCGACAAATCAGTCTCTCAGGCGAGCAAACTCACAGCGCATCCTGCGATACCCCCGGCGACACCGGATCTCCAGATGTAATCCCATGAGCGAGTCTTTGCGCGCGAGGCCACGACCTCATCGTTTGCAGTGGAAATGGCAGCTTCTTTTCTTCTCGGAGCAGGAGCCGAAGCCGCAGTGCCAACCACAGTCGCGCCATGCTGTCGAGCTTTGTCGCGTGCTATATCGGCCATGGAGCCCGGATCCGCATAGGCGGACGGCATTGCGGCGCAGTGGCGGATAGTTTTGCGATGACCAAACGAGTCTATGGAAACGACATGCCCGCAGAAGTCGAATGGGAGATGTTTTCAGGTTCTTGAAGCAAAATAAAGAGGGCAAAAAAAGAGGATGAGAAAAACAAAAGGAAAAATCGCAGCAACGGTTGAACGGTTTAGCGAGGCCAAATGCTAAGGGGCAAATGATTGTAAGGATCAAGGAAAACAAAAAGTTGGTGAAGAATCGATAGCGGATCGAAACTCCGGCTCCGAGAGACGTCATGCGCCTGTGCGCACTTTGGCGATACCTGTGCGGTACCTGCGCTGACGCACGCTGCCTGCCCATGTGACCAAGTCACTCAGGGGTTACTCTGAGGGGAGCTGTTCAGGGCGTGGGGTTCTCCGGACCGCTGGAGAAAAGCTGGAGTGCTGCCGAGCCGAGAAATACCGAGTGTAGAGCCGCTGTGCCGTGAACACCCATTGGGCGTCCAGCTGCGACAACGGCTCTTTTGTTCCCCGGTTACAAATACCCATTAATCATTCCAGAATTGAAGAAGCGAGGCAGAATTAGATATACAGGCTTTAATGAGTAAATTAGGTAGTAGATAGATTGCCTAATCAGTTGGTAGGTGGGCATTTCAATTACTCAATCACATGCCAAAGACCTCCCCATCCATTTACATTTTCCTGTCAAGAACAAACAAGTTAGTTGTGTGCACTTTGTTTATCCATCGACAGAAAACTTCTTGCTTCAGGAAGAAAATGTCCCAAAGAAAAAAAAAATCAAGAGCCGCGCATATAGCTCGTGACTCGGCCACAACGTGAGCTAGTCATACGATAAAGCTGGGGAACCAAGAACGTGGGCAGATTTCCCCCCAGGACTCGGCCCACTTCCCCAGACTCCTCCGCAGAGTTCATGATGCGTGTATCTTCCATATTTTGTGGCGAAACAATCCTCTAGAATGCTGAATGGCATATGTCAAGCTTACACAATGTGGTAAAACAATACCAAGTTCACCAAAACCCTTCAAAACGGCGTCATCGGGTGAACTCGGCTATATGTCTACGTGTTGGGTAAAGTAGAATAACAAGTCAGAATCAAGAGGATTTATCATAATTGAAATGCCTCAAATATACCACCACTCATAACATCATTGATCTCTTACTGCGCTCGCCAATGATCAGCAGGGTCTCAAACTTGACCTGAGGCAATTCTGCCAATATTTCACTAAAACACTATCTCATACATTAGTGCTGGAGAGTTATCAATCGGCTCTTTTCTCTGTATCATGAGGAGAATGTTCATATTAATTCCAATAGGCTCTGCTGGATTCGGCAGTAAAAGTTGCTAATCAAGTATCAGCTCACTTTCTTGTACTTCAGCATCCGAGCCTATTGGAAAGATCAACCTATTTCTTAGTGATAGGTCTTCATTCCGAAGCTACTGGGAGGAAATTAAAGGTCTTCTCAAAATCATTACTCAACATGATAAGATGAAATGGCTATCTCTTCTTTAGACATCTCACCTACTATGTCTTCTCTTTAACGCCAACCTATTATTTCGTACCATCGTCATGTTCAGGCCGCCTATATTGAGAATTAGAGAAGTGGCCAAAAGCCTTCGTACTAAAAGGGGAATTCTGGTTCTTGTCATGGTGGCATTCCATTGGCAGAGAAGCTGGAGGCAGAGGTTTGACAGGACTTCCGGGATCTACAATTGAGTGGCCAGCGAAGCTTCCAAGGGCGCACGCAAAGCTTGCAAATACTTAGTAGACAGGCTCGAAGATATTCTTTGTACGGGACACAAGGGGAGCATCATTGTTATTAGGCGATAGACTTTTCTTTCTGGTTGCGGTAGCTGGATGACTGATGTTGCAAAAAGAGAAGAAGAACAAGAAGAAAGTGCTCGTTCCAATCAGAAGTCATCATCGACTTCTATATACCTAAAGAAAAACAAAGGAGGTGGGAATTCTCTATCCATGAGACGCCTTTGGAACCCATAAACTCTGGAGTCGCTTTCCTAACAGGTAGATGGTCCGCCAGGAGGGGTGTTGACATCCGCCAAAACGATCTCCACCTCTCCTCATACTCCCTGAGTACACTTCGTACAGTGATGAGGGCTAGATATTACCTTGATTCAGTCTTTCAGCTCTACACGATGGTCTAGGGATTTGGTCTTACAGAAAGGTGCCTGTTAGTGACAGATTCGCCTCGAAGTCGTTTTCGAGTACGATTGATGCAATGACCCCTTGGGGGCTCGCAGAGGTAATCAAGACGCAATCGGCGAGATCTTTCAAGGCTCTATCGGTCATAAACCCAATCTCCCAAGATAAGAAGACCTCGGTCCCAAGCGGTTTTTGACACATGTTGAAGTCAAAGTTGAGAAACAAACATGGAAGAACTGCAGCACATACGTCTATCTTGATCCTACACGCCATCATAGAACAGTTGGTTGCAATCTTCTCTAACATTAGGCTTCTATGTATTGGGATATTGGGAGAAGAAACGAGCAGCTAGGTATGGTATAGAGTTGATGAATCTGAGAGAAGTCAGTGTCCGCAGTCGGGTATAACTCTAGGCGCAAACGGCGATGAGCCTCTTCCAAGATAGCATGTCGTAAAGTCTCAAGCGCATACGGACCTCAGCTAGTGATCCGACATCCATAAAATGCAATAAACCCCTTTTTGACGAAACTTTTGTCTCGCCTGTCAACACAGTTGTCAAACATCCTTCTAGCTTTCCAGTGTCATTTACTTCTAAATCGCCATGCGCGACAGAACCTCTGCAATCCTACAACAAAATTAATCTCAGGGGTCTCCAGAAGATCAAGACGGCGTCAGTACACTTTTCGAAACACCGTCCACGATATCGTCGATCCGCAGAAAGACGTGCCTCAGGAACCTTTTAATAAATTAGTGATTCTTTCACCATTATCTCTAGGATACACCCATCTACCACTACCCAGTGGATTAAACATCCACCCAATCTAGCCGAAATCTTTCCAAAAGCGATCAACGTTGCATCAAAGGTCATTTATGATTTCCATTCTGGTGGCGCCTGATTGCCGATTGAAAGGTTAAATAGATTAATAATGCATACAATCAGCTATAACTTCTGCACCAGTCCGAATCTGATTAGAAATCTATCAGAGAAGGGTATTCGTTTGTCGGCTCCTCTAAACAGAACGCCTTCGTTTTACCATCCTTCTTTAAAGAGGTTTATTGGTTGATTCCTTTCTCGAGAACGAGTAACTGTTAGAGTTAAATGTGATCTCAAGCCAAGGGAATACTTGAAATTCCATTGAGACACATAATCCGCTCTAGATGTGCATATTAATTATATCTTATTATATAGAGAGAGACAGAGCCTCTATTCCATAGTATACGCTTGTATAGCTCAACAAACTAACCCTATAAATGTCTTATCGAACTAAATCGCCACGCTCTATCAAATACCAACTCCATTCGTCATCATACAATCAGATGCTCTCCCTTCAAGGACGTTGCCCATCTTCTAAACCGGAGACTTTTGACACAAACCAAACCGGACAAGCCCTCCTTCACGGAGAAACAGAACCCCCCAGTAAACAAACCCGCGCTCCTACTGTTAGACAAATAATTGCTAAAAAGCCATGTTTCCTAGCCAATAATCCCGACCCGATAAACGGATCCCGTCACGATGCTTATCTTACGTTGCGGCAGGAGAACGACCAGGGATATCGGACTAGGCCGGTGCCCATCATGAATCATGCGACCAAATCCTTGATCGCGTTTCATGACAAGAGCCCGCGATCCTTTACGATATATCGTTCTTCGGTGTAGCTTCAAGGAGGTCCTTACAAGATACCTACGTAGTTATCATCGGCAAACTCTGGGCGTTTTACCAATGTTATATCCCTCTTAATCACTTCATGTTGTATTCACGAGGATCCCCCGCACAACGCTAACTTGGCAAGGAGCACAAAGAACAAACCCTACATTTGTATCCTCATTGGGTAGCTCGCTAGTCCATGATGAAGGTCGTTTTTGGCAAAAGGCCGCCCTTCTCGGTAATTGATGCCTCGTGGCCAGGGCTCTGCCGACGAGTTTCTTCCTCCTAATTATCCCCTATTAGGGAAACACGGCAAAGAAAAACACCTCTACTGTGAAAACGAATCATGCGCATAGGGTATGATCACATAGCGGCTCGGTGGTCTACGTGTCTCGACCGGAGATGATTCCAGAGAGAGAAAGGCTTCCGGCGTGCCGTGTGCAAAGTACATATACCAAGTGATGGATAAACGACCACGGGGGCGGCAACGAGTGTCATTGCACAAGTCTCGGCCGATGGAGGCTTTACTGCCGATTCCACTCGCCATGCCCAGCCGAACGAGGTGGTATTGCTCCATAGGTAGGTAGCCCGCAGACAGGTAGGTACGCGTGTCACTCTGTGTGTATTAGTGTATGCTGTGATGCCCCTTGTCCATGGGAATCGAAACCGGGATCGTGCAGCAGGAAACACACGAACCACGTTGCGAGCAAATGCATCTGTCCGTCTTGTAAACGGCAAAGTCTCCCCAATCTCGATAAGCCCGGTCCCGCACCTCTTGTGCGTGCACAGGCAGTCCAGACCGAGGGGGCATACGATATAAGATGACCATACGGAGCTTTGCCGTTGCACATCGTATTGATGCGGCTTACATCTACTCGTATGTACGAGCCTGCTATTAAGGGCTTCGATCGTGCCTGGAGGACCCTGTCCGGAATAACAATGACTTCTAGAAGAGAGAATCGACAAGAGGCGAGGTTAATGACCTACCTATTGCAGGCCACGCACGCACGTACGCACGTACATGTAGAGATTGTTGCCTGCTCAAAGCGTCGCTGACTAGGGGTCTTGGGTTAGGTGCATGTATGTCGACCCTTGCATATTACATGCCATGTAGATACGGAGAAGAGCGCAAGCGCAATACGTACGGCCGCGGCAGATCTGCGTCAGACAGCCAGGCCTCGGTCTGAAACATTACCTACTTACCTAGGTATAAGATGATATACAGACTCGATTGCGAATATGCATAGCGCGCATGTAAGCCAAGCGTCGCAAACGCCGTCTCTGAGGATTCGGCCAAGGCTGACTTTCCAACCAAAGAACTGCGGCTCATCAAGGCGCAGAGCAGAGAGAACTCAAGCCACGACGTCCGGCCCGGCTATCGAGGAGAGTTTGTCGGGACAGTCGAACCAGCCACGCAGCGGAGTGGCTTGAAAAATTTCGCCGGTGGAAAGACTTCAGGAATCCTTTGTAAGAATTGAGGCGTTTGAGCCGCGGACCGCGCTGGTCCTTTGCCAATGCCCAAAGCAGAAGCACCCATAACAAGCTCCATGTCTGTATTGGGACAGGCAGATGGCCTCGGAGAATTTCCAACGGCGTGTCCGGCCAAGGTGAAGGAAAACATTTCGGGGGTGTCCGAATAGGTAGGCAACACAGATGCTCTGACGGTCTGTTGACGGCGATGCGCCGATATTTCGAGGGGATGTCGGTGTCGGTTATAGAAGCACATGGATCAATGAGTACAGTATTGCTTTGCGCGCTGAAAGAAACGTTGCAGCTAGTACCATAATAGCCCCCGAGTCCCAGGGTAAAGACAGGCATATATCGCTTGTTTTCAATCTTTCATGCAGGACATATAACTGTAATACCCGTACTTAGCCAAGCAACGGCGAATATGGGTGCGGCATGTCCTTGTTCTGGCAAGTGGAAACTGTATCACAATGGCATAGCCGCCATGGAGTTGAGCAACATGGATCAGTGCCATATGACGAGATTGGCAACTCCGGCATCACAGCGCTTTGGCCGTCTGGGGATCTGTGTATGAAATACAGGCTCTCTGCTGCAGACACGGCGAATCGGCATGCCTGTACCGAATACTACAGTACACTTTGATGCCCAGAGAGCGACATCGACAGTTCAATAGGCGAGAAAGCGGCGGGAAGTGGGCGGAGTGTTTTGATGGAGCTAGAAGTTCGGCGAAGTCCTGGAGAAGACATCATTTTCTAACCGAAAAAAAAACATGGGGAGCTCGAGCCAACAAGTTTCGAGCTGCTGATATTGAATCAAGGACGGGCGGCAGCTCTGCACGTACGATGCCTTGGATGCCTATGTACCAGTTAGGTAGGCAGGCCGATAGTAGCGTGTGGCGAGTGATGGCGCTGATGTGATGCCTATGTCAACTGAAGATCATAGCCTGTATTCCGTCTGCGGCGACAGATGCATAACTGTGTACTCGTATGCAGGACAGGCGAGATTCTGTAGTGATATCGTGACGCCCCCACGTGTGCCATCTCATGAATCTCGCATGGCTGAAAGTTGGGGGCCATGGAAAAACTAGATTCAAGACAAAACCCACATGGCAGCCCCGGGAGAAAAAAAAGAAAGAAGAAAAAAGCTGAGAATTCTCCTAGCGGGCTGGGATCAGGCCCGGTACGTACTTGATAGTTATCAAAAGCTGATGTGCTAGGCCAGTTTGTTGATTGCTTTTGACTCAGGACGGTGGGGGGCGAATGGAGGTTGTTTGCAAAGATGGAGAGATCACGTTGGACAAAAGGTGGAATTGGGGGCGGTCTGCACCGTCCTGTCATGACAAGAGTGTAGCAGGTACTGCGACAAGCGTGTGGAGATGGCGGAGTCGCCTAGTACTCATACAAGTGCTTGAGTAGGGTATCCATTGCCTGGAGACACGAAGCGGTAAAGATTAAGCTAAAGACTCAAGTTGAAATTATATCAGTTATAGGCAATTCGTAGTGCCGTCGAGAGAAGATATGGAGCCGGGGAATGGAGCCTTATACAGGCAGCAGAATTGCTGCAAAACTGCCGAAACAACGTGCACAGTCGCAGCAACAGCACCGGTGATGCGGCCTGCAAACGCCGGTCTCACGGGTCAAACTACTGACCACTAGGTGGTTCTTCGTACCATATCTGTGGAATTAATGTTTCCTTCATTTGTTGGATGCAGCAACATAGACTGACACATGCGTCGCGCCCCAACTGCAGCATTACATTGACGCACTCTGTTAGGTATAGGTATCGTCTCCCTCCCGAAGCAGCCAATGAGAGGCTTCTAGGTGCCGCAATAGGGAAGTGAGTGCTTCTCTCCTAACGGCTCCTGGACACGGGCAGGGTTTTGGAAATAACAACATAATATAGCCTTCAACTGCTTTGGGTGCGTGCTCTGTTGCGACTGGCTCAGAGTCACTCGCACGCGCTCAAAACTAAGGCACTCAACTCCTCACTAGCAGTGCTCCCCCAACCACTTGGTTTGCTTGTGCTCTATTGCACGGAGCACTGGGCTGAGTCGAGAGCCGAACAGGGTTCTGCCGTGCGTGAGAGCCAAGTGCGAGTAGGTACTTGTCCCATACGCCTACTGCACAGGCAAGGCAAGGTATCCGACAGGGGGGCGTGGGTGTACATGTAAGAGAGAGCAGCTTGCAGATCCAATAACGTGTGCTCGGTACTGGGCCAAGCCAAGCTTCGTTTCCTTGCCTTCTTTCTTGGCCCGAACTCCTATTCTGCTTCTCTTGCGGCAGATTTGGCCTCTCCACCCTCTTGGATGCGGAATCTGTCGGCTCCTGGCACGGGAAGCCCTTTAGAAGGCATTAGAATGGCAAAAAGAAGGCCGACTGGTTCGTTGCAGGGGGCGTGTGTGTGTCTGCGAGACAGGGTGCCAGGGGTTGGTTGGCTCTCTGCGATTTGGGGGAGTGCATGCGCAACACATGGCAAAGTACTCGCAACCTGGCTGCACACGAGCGGATCTTGGTTTGCTCTCGAACTGCCATTTGGGCGGCTGGACGAAGCTAGCAGCCCATTACTAACGAGTCTCGTGTACCAGTTACCTTTTGGGGTGCCGGGAACATGGATATTGCTGGAATAAGGCGGGTTTGGGAGCCAGAGCTGGATACGATTCGGCCTCAATTGCTGGCATCGCCGTTTCAGATGAGATGCGTCAGATGGATCCTGATACATGAGCGCACCATAAATAGAACCATTGGCAATCTTGGACCCGAATCCATCGAGCTGCTAACGGGCGACTACTGCTCGCAAGCGCCTTGTCGACACTTACACAGCGACAGCTCACCGCCGAAATGCGCCAGGGCATGGATGGATGGATGGGCTCAATGACTGTCATGCCGTACCAGCGCAGTTAGCGCTTGTGTAGAATCGAATTGATTGCGATTGATGCGGTGTGCTACCGGAACCAATCCAATAATGAAACCATCGGATGCTCCGGACGGCCTCAACGCCTAGACAGAGGCGTGTCGATGCTATCGACGTTGCATTGTTTTGCAGCCGGCAGTTCAAACCCGACTCGTGGATTTGCTCTCTTCCTGTTTTTTTCGTTTGCAAACCCGATCCACCGACCAGAAACTCGGCCATCACGAACATCAGGCCACTCTTTTATTACCGACCGTTGCAACTGATTCACGATCCATGGACAGTTGGAGTTGGGGAAAAAAGCAAAAAACTGGCCCACGGCCCACAATAAGCCCAAAAGTCTATTTATTGACACGCCATTTCGCCCGCGTGCAAGGCGAAAAGCATGTCACATTTTGCGGATTACTGATTATTGGGAAAGCTGTGGAATATTCATGTATCCGGCACTGTCGACGGGCGGTGGTTAATATATGGTGCATGCCGTAGGATTTGACAAGTAACCGTCAGCGACAGTGATGGAATCATGCTAGCGGTATCAGGCATTGTGCTCGTATGCTCTGGACAAGGACAAGCAGTTAGGTACTTTGTACGTGTAGCTGGCGATTTGTGCCACTCCTCCGTACATGCATTCTTTGTGTCCTGTATCACGGCCGGTAGCCTGTACTTTGTTGGATGGCGCACATAATCCACATCCCACGGCTGTTGGATGTACTTATCGCACGTGTCACGGCAAATGCCATGTGGCCATCTTCGGATAATAACGAGAGGGAGCGAAGGCGAGATTCGGCCGGCATACCTGAGCCACGAACAGCTCGTATGTCGGGACAGGATAGCCCGGCCACTACTAAGATTAAAAGATGCGAAAAAAAGGCCCTTACATGGTGCGCTCCGTATGCTTGCATGAAGAGTTGCAAGGTACCGCTGCCAATCTGCCAGTAAGGTTAATAAACTTGTGACTAACAAGAATGATTTCTGAGTGTTGTGCTCGCAAGTCCTTTTGTTGGGCTGAGGAGAGAGAGTGAAGGAGAGAGAACGTTTCAATGACACCACCCCGACTCCGTCCATTCAGGCAGTTTCTCGCAATCAACTAACCAACTGCAAGCAAGCATTCATGTTGTCAAGGGACAAGCCGAAGCCCGGCAGTTCAAGGAGCAGCCTACTTACAAGCTTCGCAGAAGCGAGCAACCCTCCTTTTCCTGCCGTGCAACCACCTCGCGTGTCTATTGGCACTGCGGCTGCCCTTTTTCGGCTGTGTGAGCCCTTTTGCTCGACTCAGCAGGCAAATCGTCAAGTCGACTTGTTGAGATAAACGTCATGAGCCGAATGCAACTGCGGCATCTTAGTACAGAGTACACGCACACGTACGAGGACGCGATAATGGGTAATACCACCTCCATCCTTCCACCCGAGGCGCAAACAAGTGCACAAGTCCAGTCCAGTAAAAGGCTGAGATCCAATCGAAGCTCCCTGGCATCCCGTCTTGCACACGCCCCTCCTTCTCCTCTTTTCCCTAGTCCGACAGGGAATAACTCGCTTTTGGGGCTGGCTCGCTTTGCCAGACACCCCGTGGTGCATCTTCACAAAACACGTGGCAAAATGCGATATCCACCAGTTCAAGGTGCCTCCTTTTCCCGTTCTGCCGGCCTCCACCGCCTGTCTCATTGGCGGGTCGGGCACAGCAGCTTTCCAAAGTTCTCTTACATGCATAGCGGGGCCCGAGGGAGGCGAGATGACTGGCTGCAACCACCTGCAAACCCTGTCGAGCACAGCCCCGTTACTGAGGTTTCTTTCTTTTGGCACAAAGCACGTACTCGTACTGGTACCGAAGGGCCAAGCAGCCGCCGTTGACGATTTTTGTCGGGGTTACAGTAGAAGCAGCAGATGTTAGCGCCCTTCTTTCCCGCCACGGCCTTGCGTCATGGGATGACATATCCCGCCAAGGTCAGGCTCGTCAGTGGCATCGCCAACTGAAAGCTCTCGCATTGAGACACTGCTGATTTGGCTTTGGCTTTTGCTTTTCCATTGCTGAGCGGAGGGTGTAAGATGTTTCGCCTCTCTGCCTATAGTAGTATTTTGTTTTCTTTTCAATTGCTGCTTGCGAAAAGTGGCGTCAATAGCTGAGCGAGAAAGCTTCTGTTTTCATTACGGTTTTTTATCGCAAAGCAGGGTGACCCTGGAATTCCAACACTTATCGCGACAAGAAACTGATTCATTCGCAGCCCACAAGAGCTTACAGCAGCTTGGACCACCGCCCTGCTCCTCTTTTTCGCTTTCTCATTTTGCTTGCTGCAGATGATGACAAAATGGTCGTCGTGGAACCAAAGGCGCCCTGTACCCAGGGGGAGGTACACACACAGTCGCGCCTCGGAATTCCAGAATCGAGGCTATCGTTCAAGGTTCTACGGAAAGTGGCAGGATTGTTAGATCTGCCACGTGGAATGCACACATGAAGCCAGGTTTTGCATCTAACGGGAACCATGGGCGCTGTGGAAGCGCCCTTGCAAGGTGCAGAATCACTGTGGCGCCCGTCCACAGCCCACACAGGCGCATCTTGGAGCCATTGAGAGTCGGTGAAGCGTATCCACCTCGCTCAAACTTTGGTCCGGCCAGAGCCATTGTCTCAGCATAAGCATTTCTAGCTCTTCATCGCTCTCGCCTTTGCCTAGAGCCTCGGTTCGGCTGTCGGGGCATGGCTTTCTTCTTTAACAGCGCTGAACGAATCCTACTTGGGGCTGGTCGCGAGAGACGGAGAGAATAAGCTCATCGTCAGCTGCTTGGCATATGGCTAAGCAAGCAGTGCCATGGATGGCGGCTTACTGCATATTCAACTACAAGCTACATGTAATTGAGAGCGGAGGTCGAGCCAAGGAATCCATCCATATCCACCGCTGTGTTCGGCCGCAAACGGGCTTTTCGCACGTCACAGCATCGGCCGCTCACTCATACGGCCGATACCCGCCCAGACCCGGCGGAGGCAGGGGTTACACTCGACGCATGACTTCTCGTTCTGGCGATTGAAATCATGCCAGATACCAGCATGCAGGTGTGTGCATACGGGCTTACAAAAGTATTGGAGGACGGCACAGTCACTCTGTGGGGAAACACTGCCGGGGGCGGAGGATTCGCATGCGGAGTTCAGGCCCGAGACACGTTTTTGTTGGCGGCTTCGCTGCCTCGCCTCCTCTCCCGAGACGAGCCAAAAGACGCAAAGAGCTCGCGTGGCAGCAGTACAGTAGCACGACTAGCCACTTGGCCGCTCTCCCCGCAATCATATCACACCAGTACCGTCGTCGACAAGCTATGCCTTACCAACTTGCTTACATATCCGTCCATTGACAGAACGACCGATAGATGATGGCACTCTTCTCCACTGATGTGACATGCCGCATTCATCATCTCGATTCCCGAGTAGGATGAGAACGAAAAGGGTTCTCAGTGGCAAGCGAATTGGTGACAGATGGAATAACGCCCGCGCGGGTATGCTTTCCAAGGTGGCAGAAGGGTTTATTTACTAACTACGCCAAGTGGCAACCCGCGAGCCGAAGGTGATTTTCGAAGCTTGTTCCTGTTGAAAATATAGTAGCCTCGGCCTCGATATCCGTCCGCATTCCTGTGTAGAACGCCAACTATCGGATAAGACGAATGGCGAACTGATCCATTGCATCCGATTGCCTGCCTCTGGTATCAGTCACACGATGCATGATTCACGAAGGTGGCAATGTTGTATGCAGCTTGTTTTCGAAAGCACATCACATACCTTGGTAGGTAAAAGTGACCTACCCTACAAACCTGGGTTTTCCGAGAGAAATCCGGACTCCGACTGCAATATCGTTGATGCGCTGTGCGCCCCGAGAAATGCATAACCATGGATTCAATTCATTGCATGCCTTTACCTGCCCCTAGCGCGGAAAGAATATCGGGAAGAATCCAAGCCTGACTCTACCAGCCTTGGCATTAGTACTAGCTACAGCATGCCTGTCGCATTTCAACACTCAAATACGAGCTCGGAGCCGCAGGGTCTTTTCAGCCCGTCAATGGGACAATAGGGCGCGAGCTGCAACACGCCATGGCTTCGACGCGATGACAAAAATGTGTCCATGAACCAGGCTAGCCCGTGGGATGGGATGCAAACAAGCTACGCATGCTTACTTACCACGCGCTCTGCGACTGAGTCGGACGAACTTGGCGGTTATCAGATCCGGGAGGTAGAGGGCTCCGTACTTTGTACACGCGGCAACAGGAGATGAGCTCTAGATCTTGCGCTCCGGGTTGTCTTGGCAGATCGGCAGAAAAAGAACGATCTGATACTTAAGGCTTAGCTAGCCTCTGTCTGGCGCGCAACGTGGTAATAAGCCCGCGTCTTGAGCAAAACCCCGTCCAAGTAAGCGCAATCTGACATGCCCGTACTCCGTACATACTTTACTGTTAGAGTAGAGTAGCAGACAGGCTTCCAACGTGCGTTCTCGGATGGCGGCGCTCAATCGCAGCCCGAGCATCCTCCTGAAACATCGCCAAGTACGGGTACTGGCCAAAAGGAGCAATTGGGACTAATAAACTGCGGGAACAGATAGGGCTGGTGCTCGTCACACCGCTGCAGCAAGATCATCATCTCATCTATCTACGGAATAGGTAGTAGCACACGCACTCGAGATAGCACGCGTTGATTGTATATCTTCATTAGCAAATCATTGCCCGGGTGCATGGCGTATAAGTGACCCCGGGAGCGCCCCTCTTGTGACATCCTCAGGGGAAAGTATGAAGCTGTCCCTGGGTCTGCAAGGAACACGACAATGACGCCGCTTGCTCCGCGCCTCTCCTGATTTTTTTTCTTCAGTCTTCCGTAGCCCCCTTTGACTATCCAAACGTTCTCAACAATTGCCGGGTCCTGTTTCGTTTCAGCTGCCGCTCGCTCCGAAAATCCCTAAATAGCCTCCCTGAGCAGCTGTGATTTTAGGGTTCCGAGTATTTTCTTTCCATGATTCAAGCTTGACGCCTTCGGTCATCGCCTCTGCTATTACTTGCGCACGTCCACCAAAGCACGGCAACGAATAAACGAACTAGTTTCAATTGAAGCTTTTCATTTGCTTTTTTCTTTTTTTAAAGATCATCCTTGTCTTGCTTACCACCTATTTCGTCCTTGCCGAAAGATAGGGAAGAAGAAGAAGAGAAACAAGAATACCTGCCGCTGGTATTTACCTGAGCCGGAGATATACCGGATTCCGACGACGACATACGAATTACCCTTGGGCTTATGCTGCTATCGATTTTCTGCATTTCTGCAGGGAGACGCACAGAGTGAGACTTATTCCCGAAAAAGGCATACCCCAGATTATCGCAAAAAGCCAAGGAAACCGCTCCCAGCCAACTACGAGAGAGTGTACATGGTCATAAAGGTGAATAATATGATTTCCCTCTTGTCCGTTCTTCCTATCATATCACACCCCGGCATATATCATATCGCCATAGCTCGGCCATGATCCTCCTTGCCCCTAACAGCGCAAACTTGCGTCCGCTTCTAGAAGAGCCATGGATGGCAGCTGCACACCCTCCTCATTGGCCCGTCCAGAAGAAGGATGGGGCCTCTCCCTGTGGCCACATGACAATGTGAAACCCAGCCAACTAGCTTCATGGGGCGTCTCTGCTAATGCGAATATGGCTGATAAGAGGCAAGACCCAGACAATAAACTCTCCAGACTTGTACAGGAATGTCGAGGGAATGTCCCGGCCCATCAACGCATAGACAAATCCACGACGACGCCCTCTAACAAGTCTCAATTGGCAAGTCCAAACCCGGCGAGCTGAAACAAAGGTCAACGGCCAGGGACAAGCCGGAAAATCATTCGGACATCGCGAAGCTGGTCCAAGTTTGCTTCATCACGGCGTCACCGATTTTGCACCGCTTTCTCAACTACTTACCCCGGCCCCCTCTCAGCTACCACCACTGCGCGGTACTAGGTAGCTTCGGTAGGTGGCAAAGTTTCTACTTGGTCGCTCTCCTCTCTTTTCTTCTTAGTTTGGCGCACCCTCCTCCAGCCCTCTACCCTTTTTCGGAATACCTTGAGAAAAAAGAAGAAAAGGCTGTGTGATAGGGTGGTCCCCTTGTGGGCACTATCCAGCCACTAGCTGGCCCTTTTTATTTTTTCTCCGTTGGCGGTGAAGTCGCCATGACGGGTCGAAACACATATCAAATCACATTTGTCACATTATAGGGAAAACCTGCCACTACTTTGCTGCTACCCTGGAAGACGTGCATGAACCTTCAATTTACTAGGAGCACGCCGTTACTCAATGGGCGAAATACGGAGTCGTCTTTTGCCCGCCAGAAGAGTAAGAGGGCAAACGGGAATAAAGTATCCTGCACCATAGGGCTCAGATGACGACGGTGGTTCGAATAGTCACCGAACGCCTCTTGCGAAAGAGAAAAAAAGAAGGCAATTGGAAGCATTGTGACAAGGGTTTGGGGGGCGAAAGAAAGCAAAAAAGCTCTTGTCCCAGGGAGACCTGGTTAGTGCCTTGGTCGATCATTGGAATCCAGACGCTGTTTTCTCTTTCTTCGCTGGTCCTGTTCCCTATTTGTCTCTTGGCAAAGCGCAAGCCCGCTCTCCACGCCAGGACGTGTAGTACTCGTGCTAGCAGCGTTCTTACCGCTACTGCGCAAGTACCAGGGTCAGCTGCCCCACGGCCAGAGCTGGGCAATGGATGATGCTGGTTCTTCTCCAAGCAGCCAGCACGCACAGCGGTTCGGCGCTTGGGAAGAAGCCAAGAGTCGCTCCATGAGGCACGCAAGTGGCGTGTACTAGTACCTCACATAAGGGTCTCGAGGACGGCATTGGGGTTTGAGCGTGCGTGTTTCTGATGCTGATGCTGATGCTGATGCTGCTGATAATGATGATGGTAAAAATGATGGTGATGATGATGACGATACTGTCCCGTCAAAGCCCTTTGCCGCTTGGAGAAGTTGCTCCTTGCTGCTGCTCTCGTCACCGGCATTAGCACCACATCCGGGTTCCTCTACTGGTGCTACCTCTTGGTGTGAACCTGTATGAACCGATTGCTGCCTCTTCTCGCCCTTGTCCCTGTACCTGTACCCTGTACAAGTATCTGTATGTGCGTGCCACGAGCACAGCGCCAAAACCAGACCCTGGCCTCCTTTCTTCCCACAAAAACGTGGTTCTTGTGGGACTTGCAGAAGTGCGACGACTCGTCAGTTGTCGCCTCACAGCAAATGTAATAAACGGGTCGTTTTGTGGACCCGTTCCTGCTGGCGCCGCCCCGCTGCATCAATGCTGTCTGGTGGTCTTTTTTTTTCTTCACTGAGTTTCAAGCTCGGTTTAGTGCATACCCACATCCCGCCCTCTGTCCCAAGCCCAAGCCCAAGAGCCAGTTTTGGCGAACAAATCGATACATGTACGCCATTGACTGCGGCCTTGTAACTCGTACTTGGATCCTGCATTGCATTGTCCGTCTGTCCACAGAAACGCAAGACTCATACTCGTACATACATGGCAGGAGTTTCCGCGGTCGAAACAGTCTCTGAGTTCGTGCCCTCTCCTCTGCTCTGCCCATCTCTTTCTTCTCTCTCTCTCTCTCTCTCTCTCTGTCCCCTTCATCTCGCCTGCGCCGTCCCACTGCATCATCATCATCCTTCCTCTCCCCATTCCAATATCCCCAAAAGATGAAAGAGACGCATTGAAGTCAAAGCAACGCAGCCTTGACACGACGCTCGGCTTCTCCCGGGCCTTGTTCTCCTTGTCGAAGCTCCCTCAATCTCCCCCATCGTACCATTTGGTCGCTGCACGGGCTCTCGGAGGGGCCAGCGAAGTACCTGGTACGCCAGCCCGCGCTAGAGACCCCAGGCTCATGCGCTGGAGCCACTCCCCCCTCCAAAGAAAACCCCCGTTCCACAGCGAGCGAGGGTGTAGCGTCCGTCCCCCTGCACTGCAAAGTACCCTCTACTCGTACATGTACCTCTTCTGCCAGGCCTGTTTTCAGCGTACACACCCCCAAAGGAGTTCTAAGGTCACCATTGATCTTTTTTTATTCAAATCTCCCCAAACTTTCTAACTCTTTTCTCTTGTTCCCACCAGATGGCCGCCTTTTTGTCGCAACCTCTAAACACAATCGTCGAGCCTCTGCCTCCTTCATCGAGACAGCAACCCGACCGAACCCAGTCTCTCACGAGCGCCTCACGATCCCCAGCACCTGCACCAGCTCCCGCACCAGCAGAGCGTCGCTTCGAGGCCACCAAATCTCCACCACCAGTCTCACAGTCACGCCGCCACGCCAGCTCAGTCTCGATAGGCTCATCATCACTGCCACGCCACCAGCGGACCTCGAGCAGCATCCTCTCACGTGCGGCTGCCGCCTTGGATAGAACGCAAAGCGCCATTGCCAGCATCTCAGAGCCCGTCATCCGGAACCGCCAGTCCAACTCGACGCTTGCTCGCCTCTCGCTCACTGCGCCCTCGCATCAATTGAGGGACGAGCCCGCAAGCCCTGACCGGCCAACCGCCTTCAACTACCCGTCGAGCCAGTCTTTGCTGTCCAACCCGGGAGACGGCAAGCAGTCGTCCTTTTCATCCGCCCAGCACTCTCCCACCCTGCCTTCGACTGGCCTGTCCTCTGAATCCTCATCTCCAAACAAAATGCATCAGACATCCTCGCGCTTGTTGCGCATGACCGACGATGACCGGCCTTTCACAAGAGTACGTCTCATCTCACTTGAGTCTCATCTCACTTACGTTCAGACACGCTCTCCCCTCGCCTTTCCCCCTTAGCTACCACTACTGCTCTCACTACTCATCTCAAGACATGCCGTTTTGCATGCATCACTTGATAGACAGACTGATCCATTGACGAGGAATTCATCCAACTCTTTGTCGTCGTTATCCCCTGATATCTTTCCAATTTCATCTATTTCCAACGTGCTCTTATGCCTCTAACACGAGATACAGGATTTCAAGGATCTCTTCTCCACACTGATTGTCAGCCTTTTGCCTCTTGGTTCCCACAGAGTGCGATTGACCAAGGTGGACTACACTTTCTTGTCCGAGGATGCTATTAACAACCTGGGATCCCTCAAGTTCTCTCAGTCCAACCGCATGCCTGACCCCAAGGATCCCTCAAGAATCGTCACCACCACAACCACGACCACCTTTTCCATGGCCAAGGACATGGCTCGCTCAATCTGCCAAAGATTTGTTGAGGCCCGCTTCATTGAGTCTGCTGACGGAAAGATGCAGCCAGTCTACAACATGAAGGGCTCAGTGTGGCAGCTAACGGCCAAGGGCGTTGCAATTCTGGATCGATTTTGCTCTAGGAACGGCATTCAGCAGAAGCAAGTCGCCGAGCTAGTCAGCCTCCACTGCTCCTCTCTTGTCATTCTGGAGAGGGAGCAGCACAGCGACAAGATCCTCAGCGACCGAGGCACTGTCGAAGTCATCTTTCGCCGATTCGTCGGTGCCGAGACCCGCAATGTCAAGCCCAACGTGGCTGCGGCCGACTCGGACTCGTTGCACGATTATGAGGATGGTCTCACCGGTGTCAAGATGGCTAATGAGCGTCGGGTGAACGGAAAGGTGCACAAGGATACCTTTACTGGCAAGGCCACCTCGGATTGGCTGGTGGACTGCTGCACTATTGTGGACAAGCGAGAGGCCATTGAGATTGCGTCCCTCTTCGTCGAGTTTGAGTTGATAGATACTGTGGTCCAGGACAGATCGTTCATGCTGCAGAACCCCGGCTGTCATCTGTTCCAACCGACCAAGTATGCTGTCTACCAAATCTCGCAACGAGGAAAGGACGTGATTAATGGCACTAGCTCCCGCGGTCGCCCATCCGAGAGCGAGGCTGGCACTGGCTCACAGCGCAACGGCGTCGTTCGCGACTCCAACACGCAGCGTCTCGAGAAGATCCTCAACGACCCCGCCCTCCGCCTCCTGTTCCGCGAGAACTTGAGGGAAACGCACTGCGAGGAGAACCTTTCCTTCTACAAGGACGTCAACGACTTTGTCCAGAACTGTAAGACGGCTATCCGACAAGCCGAGGCCAACCCTTCCAACAACTCCATGGATATCATCAAGGAGATTATGGCTCAAGCTTACGGCATCTACAACGCCTTCTTGGCTCCGGGCTCGCCTTGCGAACTCAACATTGACCACCAGCTGCGAAACAACTTAGCAACGAGAATGACCAAGGCCGTTGGCCAGGAGAATGGCATGATTGAGACGCTGCAAGAGGTCACTTCGCTATTTGAAAACGCGCAAAACGCCGTCTTCAAGTTGATGGCTAGTGTAAGTACTCTTGCCTGCAAATGTTTTATCCTCTTATTTGCTAACAATGCCATCACAGGACTCCGTACCCAAGTTTTTGCGCAACGCCAAGTATGAGCAGCAGCTGCAAAACTTCAACCTTGACGGCTCTTCACGAGGTGTCGAGCGGAGCCTGAGTCGCTCCAACCGAAAGTAATGGGCTCCCTCAAGGCACATGCTCACGACGGATGACAGGCGTGTAACCAACACGGCCTTTCACGATTGCGACGATTCACCGGCATATGACTCGATATTTTTTCCGCATATTTTTTCCTCTGTTAATTTCCCTATTTGTTCCAGGGTTGACTATATTTTGCTTTGTCAAAGGGCGGCACGACTTGATACCTACTAGATTTCTGCTCTCATATCTGCATCGAACCGGTGTTCATAGTGTCATTTGCCACTTTTTTTTCTGTTCTTGTTTTGCTCTCATTTTTTTCCCCAACTCTTTCCCGCTCCCAACATGTTCGTACACATCTTTGAACGTACGGCATGTCGCATTTTGTTCTCAGCTTTGATTTCACCGCCAGGATGGATTCTTAATGGTTGCTACGACCGGTTGAGTTTTTTTTTTATTTTTCTTGATTGTATTTTGATTTGCACAAAAGAGAAAAAAAGAAGCAAGAGTGGAAGGCGTTCAAGGAAACCTGGTATAGAAGAGAGGTCACATGGCAACGAATACGGCACAACATGGCGGCTTGTTTAGTGTGTACTCATTTTGTTCTATTTTGCAGCTGACTTTGCATTTCCGACAAAGGGGAAGAAGGGCCGGGTGGATTGGTCGGAATTTGGGGGAGAGTGGACTTACGGCCGTGATGAAATGATGGCTTCGGGCTGGTCTGCGCGTATCGGTATCGACGCGCTATACATTACCGAGGCAGGGAGAATAATCGTGTGCCTGTACGGGCCTGTGGTGGAATTCGAGACACTGCGACGGCAACGGCAATGGCGTCAACGATGGACAATTGCGAGAGCCTGCCGGCACAATGTATGTTTGAGTACCATGTATGTATGCTACAGTCCCCAAGGACTGCGATAAACGAGAATAAAGGCAATAAGCCCGAGTCAAAATCATGACTAGGAAATAAAATGCATAAACCCGCACGCGTCAAGAGTTCCAAGTGTATTGCGCCATACCGTGAAAGTGAATGTTTTTCTTGCTGTTTGTTCGCCTGAGGGAATGAAGCCAAATGAGAGGCTGGGGCGGGCGGTTGCGGCAACCAAACCAACATATGAGGACTGGCATGATGGGTAATTTGCTTTCGGCGGGTGGAGGAATGCGGGAAAAAGGACGATCGTCGCATTTGCTGGAGTTGAAGCATTCGTGAGGGGGTTGGGACACGGACGAAGACGACGGGAAGGGAAGAAATGTCTGAGGCTGAGAAATGGGGAGACAGTCTATGTGCCTGTAAAGCGTACGCAATATGTTGGATATGTTTCTTCGGCTCTTTTTTCTTTTACATAGTACTATTTTTGTTCCATTCTTTTTGCCCCATCTGCTTTCGGATTGTTGGCCAGCATGTCTTGGATGCAGACAGCGATTTGCCTCATTCGAAGGATCTTATGATATGTTTTGTTTTGTTTTGTTTCTGATGCAAGTGGATTGAGAGCGAGAAAGCGCTTTTCGCGTGATGCTTCTATGTGTTCGCCCCTGGCCTCGAGAATTATATAAACCCCCCGTTGAGATGGCTTCAAGTCTTTCTTTTCTCTCTCTCTCCATCATTCGCATCAGCTTCACATTCGCTTTTCGTTTTCCCTTCAACACATTCGCTTTCTCTCTCTCTTCACTCTTTTTTGAGACCGAGATTTTTTTTAATCTACTTACTACAATCCTCGTTTTTTGTAGTCGTCATTCGCTTCTCGGCAATAAAGTTGAAAACAAAAATCAAGATGCGTAGCGTCCAGGCTGTCTTCGTGTCCCTTGTGGGCTTCGCTGCCGCAGGCAACATCTACTACCCGTCCGCCACTGAGAACCGGCCGGCGTACCCTGAGGCTTCCCCCTCGTATGTGCCTATTGACCCTTCGCACAAGGAGTGGGAGCACAAGGACTACGACGGCGAGAAGAAGGACGGCGAAGAGCACAAGGAGTATGATCCCAGCTCCAACAAGGAGTGGGAGAACAAGGACGAGAACAAGGAGGATGAGCACAAGGAGTACGATCCCAAGGAGTGGGAGAACAAGGACAAGGAGAACAAGGAGTATGACCCCTACCAGAAGGATGGTGAGGAGCACAAGGAGTGGGAGAACAAGGACTACAACAAGGATGGTGAGAAGAAGGAGTGGGAGAACAAGGACGACAACAAGGATGGTGAGAACAAGGACGACAAGGACAACAAGTATGATGGACACTGGGACGGCCACGAGCAGTGGCAGAACCAGTGGAACAAGACCAAGTCGGCCTACACCACTACAAAGATTGTCTCTCAGTACACCACTTACTGCCCTGAGCCTACTGAAGTGACCGTCAACAAGAAGACCTACACCGTCACAAAGGCCACAACTCTGACCATTACCGACTGCCCCTGCACCGTCATCGAGGTAAATATATCCCCCCTTATACACACACCTAACAGCTACTCCAAACAACACGATGCTAACTCTCATATCACAGCCTTGCCCTACCGAGACCGTCAAGCCCCCTACCAAGTGGGACGGCAACAAGGACTGGGACAACAAGAACTGGGACAACAAGAACTGGGACAACTCCAAGCCCGAAGACCCCAAGAAGCCCGAGGACCCCAAGAAGACCGGGGCCGCTCCCTCCGCCTCCGCCTCCGCAAAGCCCGAGGACCCCAAGAACGGCTGGGACGGCAAGCCCCACGACGGCGGCGACAAGCCTCACCCTCCCCCCGTCACCGTCTCCGGCGCCTCCACGAGCTTCGTGCACGTCGGAGCTGCTGTATTCGGCGCTCTCATCGTCGGCCTCATGGCCCTGTAAACAACGAGCAACATCTCAACATGTTACTAGCATTGGGAGGAAGAAGTGCATGAGGATGATGATGATCATGATATGCGGCATGAAGGAGGATGACACTTTTGGGTCGGGAGTCAACACACACGGAAGGCGGGTTTAGAAGGATTGGGGTTAAGGAGGGGTTTTTCTAAAGGGAAACAAAATACGGGTGCCCTTCTGCTACTTTTTACTTTTTACTTTTTTTTTTTTGGAGATGTGTTTTTTAGGTTCTTTCTTCTCTGGGGATAGAAATTTTTTTTCGAACGTGAGCTTTCTTCTTCTACTTCTTCTTCTTATCAGGGGGTGATTTACTTCTTCTTCTTTTTTTTTTTCCTTAATTCAGCATAGAAGGGCATCAAAGTGGGTGTTGCTTTTGCCGAGTGAAGAGTCCTTTGTATGTTTCAAATGCAAAATCATTTTCTTATTACCCCCTCCTTTGCGCTGTGTAAATGTGATTCGCAATGATTGACTTGTGTCTCTCCAAATGCCGACTTCTCTCCTTTCCTATATGTGAGGTGAGAGCTTTCGCAACGCTAATAAGCCCTGTTTGAAATATGTAAACATTCTCCCTTTTGCCGCCAACGCCACGCATTCAACCCAAAGGGAATTCCATAAAAGAAAAAAGGAATTCCTGTCGCTTTCTATTGCTTCCTGACCCATCATGTTATCCAGCACATGACATGAGACTCGAGGAACCATGTCCTCATAAATTATTACATCCAACCTTCAAAAAATCAATCCAGTTTAGCACAACTCAGGCACCAACCGAGGAGAAGCTCCAATCGTTTACAGCAGCTCTGGAACATAGGCGTGCGGAGGTGTTCTCATCGAACGGGGAGCCATGGGCTCTGGCGGGTATCCATAGTCGACGCCTGAAGTATCCGGTTCCTGGTCGCGATACTGAAACGCCTCTGTCGATAGCGATGCCATCGGCGGTGTTGGTGGTGTTTGCCATGAGGTTGGCCGCGCAGGCAATGGCTTTCTCAGATTCTCGAGTCTCAGCGACCTGAGCTGCTGCCCCTCGGCAGTTTGTGCGCTTGCAGGATACGGCGTCTGCTTTCGATACCGCATCTGGGCCTGCGATTCTATCAGCGGAGCACCTGACGAGGCAGCCTTTACAGACAGCGCCTCAATCAGAGTTCCGTGGGCCTTTTTGATCGTCTTCTTGATGAAGCTCGCCATCATGACGTTGCAAGTGATGACGACATCCTCCCGGATATACAGGCCGGACCGCGGCGCTCCCAGGCCCAGCTCCATGGGTTCCGGGTCTTCCCCCGGCTCGGAGCCCCCCACCGTCCACTTCTCGCGTAGGTCGACGCCCATGGGGGCGTGGCAGTGCGTCTGCAGGCCCAGGGGCAGGTCGTGGAAGGCGGCGGTATATGAGATGGCGCCGGTGACGAGCTGGCCTGGGAGGTACGAGATCTTGTCGGTGATGGAGTACCAGGTGCAGACGTGCTCTTCCGGCAGGGCGTGGGGAGGAGGCGGGATGACGTGGCGGTCGGTGACCAAGGGATTCAAGTCGATCATGTCACGGTGGTTGTGGAGGAAGTCGATGGCGGTTTGGCGCGAGATGCCGGGGGGGAGGGGAGTGATGGAGGTGAAGACTGTTCGTTTCGACATGTTGGGCTGCGTGTAAGCTGTGCTGTGCTGTGTCGTCTGTAGCTCTTCGAGTATTTAAAACCTCCTCTGCGACTCGGCGCTGTGTAGCGACAGAATTCGATGGTGGAAAAACCAGGCCAAGAGAGAGGAAACAAAAAAAGAGGCGCAGGGCGGATTTATTTGTTTCGGCCTTTGTCAAAGGAGCGGGTGATACAATGGCCTTGTGTCTGATATCACGAGCCCCCCAAGCAAAGGCGCGGGGCGGTTTTGGTGGCGGGATGGGATGCTAAGCGGCGTTTCAGAGCTGAAGCAAGGGACACCAACAGACTGACGCTAAAACCAGCGTCAAACGAACGGAGCTGAGCTTGTGCTGATCAAAGAAAGAGACGGAAGAAGAAGAGACGAAATAAAGAAGAAGAAAGAGAAGAAAGAGGAGAGGGAAGATGAATAGAGTTTAGGAGGTTTGATTGATATCCGCAGTCAAACTTGGGCTGGACTCGGCAAAGCCTAGCCTCCACTGCTTGCTTTTGTAATTGTAATGCGGCGCTGTTAATAAATAGCAGCGCTAGTGTATTAACCGCGATTGAATGGGAATGATCCCGTAAGACTGGGATAGCCGCCGGAAATTGCTGCCCCGAAAAAAGAAGATACGAAAGAAGAAAGCGCTGGCGATGACCCTTTTTGGTTTCTTGGGCGGGCGAAAGAAGGGCTGGAGCGGCGCTTGTGCTGACAGGCGTCAGCCCGGGGTGGCTCTGTTTTGGTTTGGGGCCCTGGGTGGGATGGGGATAGCGGCAAGGGTATACCGTAGTTGGTTGTGTGTGTAATGCGCAGTATTAATATCTGCGGCTATTGAATGGATCTGTAATAATGGCGTATTCTGGTGGAATCTTTTGTTGGTTGATGCTCGTAGATAGTTTGGTATGTTGGGCCGTAAGTCAGAACTCAGTCAGTGGCTTGACTGATGAATGAACAGCTGTTGGATGGTAATTGGCACGTCCAGTCCAGTCCCGTCCAGTCCTTTGTGCTGAGCTGTCGCCGGCTCGGCTATTGGGTTAGTATTCAAAGGGTACACAGACTACCAGATCCGGGCAACGGCACACATCCATGCAACGCTGCCAAATCGACGATGGCGGCTTGGAGAAGATGCAGCTTTGAATGGGCTCGGCTTGATTGGCGGAGAGTGATTCCAGTTTGGCTGCTGTCATTCAGGACGGACGAGGACGGAGCTCGGGAGATGTGGAGACTGTCGCACGTGAATCCGGCTCGTTGCATACAATAATTCGATTAATTAAGTAATTAATATTGATTAAACTAACATCTCTACTGGTACATGATATGCCCTTCTCTGGAAGTAATTGAATGGCACTCAGTTATACTCACTACCTGCTCCCTCTCTGACCGTCATTTCAATCTTCTCTCTGCTCAACTTCTCTCTCCCATGCTCAAACTAAACAAATCCCCTGGTTTCGGTTTCGTCCATCTCACTTCGTAAAACAAAGCTACTTACCACCTTAGTCATCCGTTTATTCTTAGAATCTCTGATGTAAGTGACTTCCGGCCCCAGTTTTATTTGGAGGCTTGGACCAACCAAACTAAACCAGAACCAACAAGCTCACAGGGCTGAGCCAAAAAGAGGGCTTTCCTGGCTTGTCTATTCTCTTTTCCTCTTATCTTCGTTTTTGCTCGTGAAAAAAACAGACAAAAAACCTCCGCTTACTTACCATTCGAGATGGAGCAGCTGCATGCAATACAATACAATTCACATATTGACATTTGCGGATGCTGCGGGTGCTGCGGTACGGAATATTTCTTGCCATCAATAATTCCACATCCGGCAGTGGTATATTCCCACTGCTCACAACGCTCGTATAATACCGGAAGAGCTGCAACGCTGTGGTTAACTACTACAGTAGCATCGTGGGAATTGATATGCCGCTCTTAGGCAAATGCTGCTCGACCGACTCCCGCTAGCTTCACAGGCAGCCGTTATACGAAATACCGCTTTTGGAAGTTCGAGATTGGGTTGCACCGAGTGAGTTCGGGTGGGATATCCGAGGCTGATTCATGATGCATTAGCAGCCTTTCCGATGTGACTGACACCTGCTTTTGCTGGCCTTTTTTTCTCTCTAATTCTCCTTCTTTTTCAATGTCGTACTCGTAATAACGCCTATCTACATCTATTGTTGATATGTCATTCCCTCGTTACATGCAGTCCGGCATCTATACGCAAGGAGGTAGAATCGGCTTCTAGATTCATCCCGGCCGCCTCACCCCATGGTCTTTTCACCAGCAGTACATCTCCAGCTCAACAACATCAATAGCTGTAACAGAAGAAGAAACAACATAAAGAAGACAAAATAAAGAAGACCGGCAAACCGGTATCCTAAAAAATTGATCCCCGAATTAATTTCACATCTCCCATTCCTCCAAAAAGTACACGTATTACTTATCCCCCCTAGCAAATTTAGCCCGGCTATCGCCCAAACCACAATCCGCACAAGCAACCTAAAATTTCCATTTGATTTACCCCGACGGCCGCATTAACCAAGCCGCGCTTCTCCATACATTTTATTCCGCCCCCACTGATAAACACCAAACAATGCAAGGCTTGCTCGTATACTCGGCATATTCGCCTTAATGTCAACCAAATCAAAGACAGAAATGAAATGAGTTTCTTTTTCTGATCCACTTTCTCGCCCCCTCCGAATAGACGCCGTTAACAAACTGCTGCGCGAAGGACAAGTAATCAGATGTTTAATACAACCTTAAAAAGACATGGGGGAGAGCAAAAAGTCGAAGATATCGGGCTCCCTTTGGACCGGCCCGTGGACGTATGAATTTGTCCGGCCGAGCCCAGCACGGAGCAAATCTTCAATTGGAGATTGCTCTTTAAGGGGGAGATTTTGGTGAGCTTTTCGGAATTGCCTATGCTTGAGCCGCGGCAAAAAAAAAAAAAAAAAAAAAAGATTGACAGACAATCTTTGTTTGCTTAAAGATTTGGTATGTGGTAGGTAAGGGTCTTTAGACTTAATCACTCGGCCGAGAGCCGCAATGATGATCCGGGCCATTTGTGTCGATTATGCTCTGCCGCCATGGCTTCATCATGAATGAATTACAGTGATTAATGTATTTAGTATCATTTCTTGGAGTCATGCTTCCAGGAACTGCCCGTTCCCTCGTACCCCTTTTGGCTGTCTATCATGTTGTGTGTATCTCGTCCTGTCCCGTACATGCTTATGCGTTTCCTCCATATTAGAAAAGAAGGAAAACAAAAAAATACAATAAACAAATTCCCTCTGATCATGCCCAGTCCCGTGTAGTAAGTAATCAAGAAAACAGAATCAGGACAAACCGACGTGAAATCATATCTCCTTGCACCACTTGGCCAAAACAGTGCTCAGCTTCGTAGCTACCGGAATCTCCTCCAGCGCCACGTCCACTCTCCACATCTTTGCTTCCAGGCCACCATGTCCCTGACTTCGGCTGCCTGCTCCCACGCCCGCTGGTACCAGCAATCCCAGCGTCACGAGTCGCTCCCATGCCACGGCCGCCACGCCCCTGCTCCAGACCCTCGCGTTGCCGCCCTGCGCAAGCATGCCTGCCGTAGCCGACTGTACGCGCTGCCGCCCTGCCAGCGTGCTGTACTCATCATACGCCATGGCAAAGTTGACCGTGTCCGTGTCGGCCACAATGTCGAGCCGAGCGGCGGCAATCAATAGCCCGAGATCCAGCTCTGACAGTGTCGATAACAGGTGCAGCCGCGAGTCTGGCGGCGCCAGCGACGTCAACTCTGAGCCGACGGCAGGAATGTTGAGGTTGGGATTGCCCGCCGTCAGCCATGAGAGCGGCAAGATCCATTCATTGAAGAATGCCGACGGCGACTTGGTTGTGTAGTAATGGTACTGTAGCAGGTCCTGAAAGGCTCGCTGCTTGTAGAGATCCTGTACGCCAAGCTGTCATTAGCACATGAAGTCCGTACGGGGAAAAGTTCCGAGCGCGGGGGAAAGTTTACTGACCTCAACCTTGTGATCCCAATATGCCTGGAATTCGCTGAATCCTTCGACGCTCCGATCCAGCCCTTCTTCCTCTGGTTCGACATCCCCGAGCATGAGCCCCTGTCGGCACACTTGCCAGAAAGCCGCTAGATTCTTGGGTAAAGACAAATAAATATATCGGTGGCTGAACCGGCTCTTGACTCTCTTCTCCAACATCTCCACCACGTCGAGGCGCGTTGTGCAGCCCAGGACTGCAATGGGCGCCTTTCGAGACTGTGCAATGTCGAACAAGTTATACAAGAGCGTCTGCCTGGGATGAGTCGCAAACAGATCGAACTCGTCAACGATGAATATCACGGACTGCGACGTGACACCCTCATCCAGCCCCAGGATTTCCGAAGGGTGGGACAGCAGTGCCAATAAGGACGCCATGGTGTCAGCATAGTTGGACTGCGAATAATTAGCAAGGTTTGAGCATTATCGGAGGACATAATATTGCTACTCACCCGGGTCAGCAAGTCGTCGTCAACCTGCATCTCTTTTCCAAGCTGCCTCCAGATTTCCTTCAGCGCCAGCTTGTCATCTGTATGAATGAATCCGTTAAGCCTAACAATATGGAAATCCTGTCGATGTTCCCGTGACATGTCCTTAACAATGTTGTTGATCATCTAGATGTGCCGTTAGCATCAACCCTGTTAGCAAGCAAATACATGTACATACCGTTGTTTTACCACACCCCCTCGGACCAATGAGGAGCATAGAGTTTCCTTCACCCGCCACAACAGTCTGCTCAATGAGCTGATGCGCCTTCTCGTATTGATCTTGCTGGCCAAACATGCGTATCGTCCTCCGGCCGTTGCACCGATCCAGGAGAACCCTCTGCAGGGTGCGCAAGTGATGATCCAAGTTGGGAATCTCCGGCACCTCAATAGCCGGGGCCGTCACTGAGTTGGCAGCTATTTCGGAAGCCTCCTCAGTCGGTTTCTTGGTCAGTCCCAAAACGTCTTCCTGCGCGCACGACTTGCATAGCCAATCGCCCTCTGGAATCTCTCGTACTCCGTAGCACATTTGGTGGACGGCAAAGTCGCAGTTATCGCATAGAATAATCTCGTTGGGTGCTTGTGAATCTGGTCTGGAGCACACGCCGCACACAATCTCATCTGTGGCAGCAACAACAGGCTGAGCCTGCTTGGGCTTTCGACCAGGCTTCTTTTTGGCGCTGGGTCCTTTGGGCAAGTCCTCAAAGAAGACTTCAGTGGTGGCTTCGGCATCAACGCTCTTGTTAAAAGAAACATTCTTCTGCGGCCGAGGCCCCTCTTTCTTGGTCGGTGATAGGATGCTCTTTGGCGTCGACGTGGTACTCGTCGATTCAGCTAGTCTCTGGTTCAGGTTGAGACTTCTGCTCTTCAGAGGACTGACGGCAGGGAACTCGTTTGTCGAAAGCTCGTCCGCTGTAGTATCAAGCATGCCATTGGAAAGCGGCATCAAGTCGAGACGCCTGATTGAGCGCACCGTTGACGGCGATTCGTGAGGCGTGGCCACGGCTTCTGGTTTGGCCTCGTTTGCAATGACATCGATATCGTCCTCCGCCTCGTCCTCTTTCCTGGCCGTGTCTCTAGCTCCGCCTCGACCTCGACCTCCTCTGCTACCTCTCCCACCTCTGCTGCCTCTCCCCCTTCCCCTTCCCCTGCCTCTACCTGAAGGCGCTGCCGATTCTGTTGCTGAGATAGCATCTGGCACAGGGGCCGCTTTCCGCCTCCCTCCTCTTCCCCTTTTCGCTGCCGACGGCTTGATCAAGTCTCCATTATCCCATTTCGTTCCAATTAGAGCCGCTAGCTTGATAGCTGGCTTACTCCTATTTGGTGATGTTGTAGATAGCGGCAGCAATGGTTTTGGCAAGGAGACGCCATTCCCCGCGGCATCGGTCGGTGTCTGCGTTTCGGCAGCCTTTTTGCCGTATCCAAAAACGCCCGAGATGGCTGAGGCGATGGTGCTCAAGGCGCCTGGTGTCGTAGAGCCTGTGTTTTCTCCATCAATCCTGCGCTTCTTCGGCGTTGCAGCTGTATCGGCATCGTGATCGTCAAAACTTCGCTTTTGGCCTACAGAAGCGGCATCGAGGTCCATCGTTCGGCCTGTAACGGGGGAAAGCACCAAAGAAATGCACGACCTCGACAGCAGTGCTCTTATTAAAATGCCTAGTGGTGCATTACGTGGTTTGAAGGCGGAAGGGGTTGCGATGTTTTGCTTGCCCTTCGAGAATGGAGGTTGGTGATGGTTAACCTAGACCTGTCAATTAATTTGAACGCGTGCAGCGCGTTTTCCAGTTGGTGGACGCGTTAATTTAGCGCCACAGCACCCCCAATGCCCAATTAGGCAATTTGTTATGGCCGCTGTATCAACCAAATGTCACTCACTTCAAACGACTTACAAATAAATTATGTCGTCTTCACTGGCTTGGACACAAGAGGCAATCATAAACGAAATTTCAGATTTGATGGGAAAAAAGGTTGTGATTTCGTATTCTATGCTAGTAAACACAAACAGATAGGTATCGTAGGGAAAATGGACTCTATCAAGGGGCGTTGGAGCTGAAAAGGGCCTTCAACAACTGCGTGCTTCTGTGTATCAACCAATATCCGCTGATGAGTATTCCGTTGTTTCTGCTCTGCTCATTTCATCTCTCAGGACAGACTTAGTCTTTCTCCGTCCGTGATACACACACACGCCAGTGCCGCCGCTCTTGTGGCGCTTGTTGGCAGGGCACATTGGGCTTGATGGCAAATGTTCCGGAACATCGAACTCGAATTTGCTGGCTGAAGTGCCAATAGCAACAGGAATATCGCGGCGAGATCCACGTGGAGGTACCTGCTCCCACCACTCGCGAGACTGTGATGCCATGCTGCTACTGTGGATACTGTAGCGTTTCACAGAGCGATTCGATGGCGAAGCCGTCTTGGAGTTGGTCTCGCCACCAGTTCCAGGAGGTGTCAATGACGTGAAAAAAGCCCGCGGCCTGCCGTCGGCTGTATCTTCGTCCAAGGGAGGTGTGCTGACTCGAATGGCCTCCTACTCGGCGATAAGTTGATGTAACTCACAACACAAAGCATAGAAGCCGAGGAGAGAGAGATACTCACCCCTCCGGGAAATGTGCTATGGGATAGATTGTAGCGACCTGGGAGATCGGAAATTAGCCTATACATATACTCATATTTGACATAAAGTGTGCTGGCGTACTCGTGTGGCTCAACCCGAGAGTGGCAGGACTCGCGGGAGGTGTCCTGCCCTTAAGAACTGCCCTGATGGAGCTGGATACGCTGGTGAATGAGTCCGCAGATTCCTTTCGATGCCATGGGGCTCTCCTAAATAGTTTCCGGCCTATCTTGGAAGTATGGAATTCATCTTTAAACCACGTTCCCGTCTTGCTGATGTTCTGAGAGGCGAGGAATTTTCTGGCGCCTTCAACCGTCGACCGCGTACGGCAATCCTCATCAGGGGCTAAATTACTGCAAGGACCATGAGTTCCTAACCCGACCTCTGTCTGATTGCCGGCATCTGTTGTACAATGGATATAAGAGTCCTCATGCTGTTTTTGCTTGAGCTTGGATTCGATTTCCTTTTTGGCCTTGAGATATAAGAGTCTTGGAGAGAGTAAGGGCGTTGGCGACCCAGTTTTCACGGTTGTTTGAATATGGCTCTCAGGCGAGGTGGTTTTTGGGGCGTCGGCTAGGCGGTGGTTCTTTGAACCGGGAGAGATTACGATGCTTTCGCTCGACTGCTGTGCCTTTGAAGGCGTAATTGCAGCAGTGGATGGTGAGACAGGCTCTGCAGTTGGATGTTGTAGCGAGAATACATGATCAGACTCGGATAGATATGGAGTCCACACTTGATGAATGGCAGGCGGATCATGTCTTGGGAGGTCGGGTTTCGATTTTGGTCCAGTCGCAGAGGTCACTCGAGAGGCTAAACGCCCATTGAGTAGTGCATCCGTCTCACTCGCAGATTTGGTCGATCGTGAGCGCCATTTCCAGAAGCGCACATTAGAACTGGCGTTGCTCTTTCGGGGAGAGGCTGGCGTGAGCTGTCTCTCTGCCCAGTATCCCTCAGGGAACCAGACCTACTCGTATCCCTCACGAGGTGGTCGTGGCGGATCGACGCCGAACTTTGGGGCAGAAGTGGATAAAGACTCAGCTCTCTTTCTGTCTGGTGAACCTGCAGGAGAAGTTGAGTTTGTAAAGGCACCATCTTGCATAGCCCTGTCCCAAGGAGTCAATCGAGGCGGCTCATGAGAGCTTGTAGAGAGCGGCGCAAGGGTGAGGAGAAGGTACGGCGGCGGGCAAGGTAAAGACCGGACTGAGAGGTCAAAGTAACTGTAGAATATGATTAGCACTATCAAGATGATTAACAAACATATAATAGCTGAGAGTGTACCTGTCATCATGAGAATCTGAAGTGTTGCTTGCTGTTGCTATTTCTGCGTGTTGTTTATCGGACATGATGAATGGCTATCGTCACCCGCTGGAAAACAATGAAGCGGAGGCGACAGCGCTTCAACTGGTCCCTGACAAATCGGAAAAACAGCTGCGAGACGAAACGAAACAGTGCAATAAATAGATAGTTGAAAAAGAAGAGAAAAAGAGAGAAGGAAAGTCGCGACACTCCTCTTAGGATGTAGGTGTTGGACGATGGTAGGATTAAAAGTACTCGAGATATGTTTCTAGGGGATTGTTTGATGCAAAAGGAGAGTTTTTAGAGAGGCGCGTGTACGGAATCAAGACAAGATAAGACAGATATTAGGTGAGAGTTAATGGAAGGTCCAGTCGGGAGCGGAATATTTCACCCTGGCTCGCCCAGCTTCAAGAATTTAGCATCACACAAGGATATACTTTTATTCATCTGACATGAAAAGAAAAGAAAACTGGTATTGTCGCACTTGACTTGTCTCATGAGACCTGATCCATCTGTCCTCATTACTCAAACATCCATTTTAGTGGCTTCCCAATCCAAATACGCCGAAAACGCCATACATATTCCCATCAGTCGCTATGCATTTATGCATCCATTTCCATTGTGTCGTCGCCATCCAGAGCCATCCCTTGAGGCTCCAAAGGAATTCCACGGCCTCGTCCAGCCAGCAGTTCTCGTCTGACTTCAGGGCCAATGGCAGAGTGACCGTGCGTTAGCAGCAGATCCAGCAGTGCCTCTCGCTGGTCCTCGGTGATGTCGCCCTTGTATCTCTGCGCAAACGCCAGAAGACTCTGGTGCCATATAACGGGCAGCTTAGCTCTGTAGTCGGATCCGCTCATGACAACGGTCATGTTATCGCCAGCTCTGGCGGTGGCGGGATCTTCGGCGCGGAATCTCAAGAAGTGGAAGACTAGAGCATCGATAGCCTGGTAAGGGAGAGCGTACTTCTTCTCCAGAAGAGTCTTGATGAAGATGTTGGTCGCTCCACCTCCCTCACTGCCCTGAGAAGCCTCTTGGGCGGCGATATCGCAAAGACCCTTGATGGCCGCGGCAGAGTGGAGGACTGGGATGGAAACTCGCGCCAAGACTGCTGAAATGATGTGTGCTTCTCGCAGAGTGCAGGTGCCGCTGCCGATCAGAGGGAACAAAAAGCCCTTGAAAAAGGCGGCAGGCTTGTAGAGGGCCTTCTTGAGGGAGTTGAATAGGTGGACGTTGAGCTTTTTCGTGTCGTAAATATCTTCGCGGACCTTTTCCAACACCACCATCTCCAGGAACCGTTGGACCACTCCAGGCTTGGCTGAGACGAATATCCTAGTCGCTTGATAGGTGGCATTCGGGGTCCAGTTTTCGGGCTTGGTGACATCGATAATGTCCTCCCAGTGGGGGATAGTTGGGAGAATCTTGAAGGGCTTGGGAAGAGGTCCGGACTTGTAGCGGGAAAGAATTTCGCCAATCCTGGTGCCGTTAGCTCCGAGCCCGTAACTACATGCATTTTCAAGAGATGGCATCACTTACTTGGTGTACACTTCCACAACCTTGGGCGGAAGCTCATAGTCGTCGTCGGGGGCTCTGACGTTGCCTCCGCCAGCCTGAGCTGCCTCATGCGCAGCAATCTTCTCCAGAATCAGATCGGCCAAGTTGATGGACTCGCCCTGGGGTTCTCCAGAACCCTTGAGATCCCAGCCGTGCTTCAGCAGATCATCGTCCTCTTCGTCTCCCATGAATTTCCTGTAAGTATCGAGGTCTTCAGGGTCGACCTCGACCTCCTCCACCATGTCATCGTCATCTCCCCAGGCTTCCTCCTCGTCGTAACCCTTGTGATCTTCCTCCTCCTCGCCGAATCTTAAATCGTACCCAAAGTTGTCAACCGTGGGCTTCGTTACCGGGTTCTCGGCATTCTCCTCCTCCATCAGTTCACGGCCTATCCGCAGAATGTTCTTGGAGGCCTTGGAGTCCACAAACGTATCCTCAGACTCTTCGACATCCTTGGACTTTCTTTTGGTAGGCTTGTTTCGCAGAATGCCCGTCGCCAAAACGTCATCTTCCAGGGGATTGTGGCGCCGGCCGGGGCGCGCCGCGGTAGGAGCCGTTGCCTTGGGCATATTGAATTCCAATGCTGTATGTAGTCTGCGGTGGGCTATTTTCTGTAGATGCAACTGTTGGATATCGGAGTGCGATTTGGGTTCTGCCGGGGCCAGGCAAACTTGGTGGGCAGAAAATCAAAAATTTGTGTCTTATCGATCTGCCACCCCTCTCAACGGATGAGGCTTAGCGTGCCGCACCAAAAATCCATCCTGCAGCTCACCGCCTTTGAATTGCGAAGTACCCATAGCTCTACCTGCACCTTGAACGATGAACATGATGAAGCGTCTGATGTTTACGCTTGAGATAGAAACTATTGATGATACTGAGAGTGCATGATGATCTGATATGATTAAACTTCTTCAACAAATTTTTGAATAATACGCAGCTTACCTCGGGTTGTAGTACACCACAGTTGGTCACAAAGCTTGGCTCTCCATGTTTCTGAATCCAGGCTCAAATCTGATAATCATCTCTTGAATCGAACAATTATTTACATGGATCCGGCCCAAATTCATCTTGTTTTACTTATATGATCATCACGTGTCATCTTGATTTTCAGAATCTCGAGTCTTCCATCTCTTTTGCAATGCTGCCTAAAATGGTTAGTAACGGCCTATGACGCCCCAGGCCATTTTTCCACCCCACTATTATCAAAATCCAAAAAGCTGCCCCTCCAAAATATTTCATACGATAAGACAGTCATTCTCTAGGCACTCTGCGACTTCATTTATAAGACAGTAACATTTTTTCAACTCATTTATTCTCATATAGATCACAAGACACCATGCCTACGGAACTGGAAGAGGTATGGCCTATATACTTATAAAACATGTACCCAGACAAAATAGATATGCTAACCTATACGTAGCTCGTGGGCTTCATCGCTCATCCAAACCCTCAGATCAGGGCCGTCGCAATAGAGAACTTGGTCCCCTTTTCAGAATCTGAGCCATCCATTTTCAAGACCGAGGAGCTTAAGCCAGTGAAGCATCTGAAATTCCTTGTTCGAGACATTGCGGTGAGCCTCCCGAAGAGTGGCTTTCATGGCCTCTCTTTCTCTGCGGAAGAAGTCGATTTCAGTACTAGGACAAAGGGCTGATCCTTTTCATGTATAGAACATCGCCGAACATGCCTTGACTATTCTCATCAACTTGACGGGAGACCAGGAAATCCTGGAATTTGTCGCAACAGATGAGAAATTCCTGGAAATGGTATTCTCACACATAGTCGTAAGTCTCACCACTCACTTCACCTCCACAACTCCCAAAAATAACACAATCATCTTCGCGAACAGCACCCTGAAGAGCCAAACGCAGACCTACTAGCCATGCTCCTCGCCAACCTCTCCAAATACGAGGGCTCAAAGGCCTTCTTCCACAGAAAACAAGAAGCCCCCTCACAGCTCGGCTCCGACGACCGCGTCATCAACCAGCTCATGGACCTCTTCGTCAAGGGCCAAGACGGCGCGTACAACAAAAAAGCAGACTTTGACTACCTCGCCTACGTCTTCGCCGACCTCGCCAAGCACACCGAGATCAGGCAGTACTTCCTCGCCGAGCAGACCTACGACAACGTCATCCCCCTGACCAAGCTCAAGGTCTTCACCGAGCACAAGTCCGACATTCGCAGGAAAGGCGTGGCAAACACCATAAAGAACGCTGCGTTCGAGATCCCCGCTCACCCTTCGTTTTTGTCTGAGGAGGGTATTGATATTCTTCCTTATATCCTTTTGCCTATTACTGGTAATGAAGAGTACGATGTGGATGACTCGATGGACATGTTGCCTGACTTGCAGTTGCTCCCGCCGGATAAGAAGCGTGACTCAGACACGGCCAATATCCAGACTTACGTTGAAACGTTGACATTGTTGACGAGCACACTGGAAGGCCGTGAGCTGATGAGGAAGGTCAAGGTATACCCAATCATTCGGGAGACACACATGAGAGTCAACGATGAGGGCGTCCAAGAAGCATGTGATAGACTAGTACAGGTTCTCATGAGAGATGAGGCACCGGCAGAGACAGAGGAACGTGTGGAAGAAGAGCGCGTAAAGGAGATTGAAGCAGACGAAGATGATGAGCTTGTCGAAGTCTAAAAAAAGCTGTTTTTTTTTATCAACTTTCTTCTTGGTTTTCTCTCTCTGTGCGTCATGGTTCTGGGACGTTTTTAGATTAGGATGAATGTACACAGTGGCTTAGAATTGCGCAAAATTGCAGCATATATCATATTGATAAAATGGTGGGTATACAGTCATATATAACAAGATTGGAACTCGAGATTCATGATCATCATTACAAAAGAATTATTGGAAAGAAATTGACCACCCGCCATCCAACGCCGATGCTGAGGCCGTCCCGCCTTTCAGCTGTCACCATACTAATCTTCATGATGTTCCTGGAACACACTTTTTCGGGTAGTCGGGCTGTTTGAAGATGACTTTTTCACCGTCAAGTAGTCGTCCCCAGGGTTCTCCTCCGCCGTCGGAGGAGAAACCACAAATTCATGACCCTCTGAAGTTCTGGCCGACTCATCCGATGGCTGTTTGTCCTCTGCAGCCGGGGTGGCGACCGGTTCGGGAGTGGGCAGCAAAGACTTTTCATCATTCTCACTGGATTCGGGTACTGGGGGAGAAGGAGAGTCGCCTAGCCCAGCAGGTTGTGATATGACGCTGTTTCTGTTCTTTATCGGAGAAA